GTGACGACGGTCTGCAGTGCGGCCAGTGCGCGCCGCACGGCACTGCCGCTTTAACGTAAGGCAATCTTGCTTCTCAGCAGTGTAGGCTCCCTGCGGTAGCCATGAAAGTTCCTACAAACAAAAAAGATGCAAAAAGAAAAAGAAAAACCACAATAACTCACCTTCTCCACGTAATTTGGGCGAATCACTAGGCGGCAGTCCCGTGCGGCGCGCACTGGCCGCACTGCAGAACGTCGTCACGATTTTTAGAGTCGACGATACAATAATTACGCTCGTCGTTTAAAACTCTTGGTAAGAGGTTCACTCGCACCTCGTCGCGCTGAGGTGCGATATCAATCTCAGGGATAGCGTAATATCCTCTATATCTATATTATTTTACGTTGATTGAAGCTGTAGTTTTAAGGATTTAATTTTTTCAGTGGAAAATTCTTAGCAATCAAACTTACTTTTCCATGAACGCTTCAGACTTCGGACCCCCCTGCTCAGACAATCGCTGGGGGCAGGCGGGCACCGGAAAAATAGATTGCTGATTTCTTGCATCCCGCTCGCGGATTTTTTGGAAAGCAATCAGGACTTTTCGGAAGACCGCTTGCTGAGTCAGCGGATTTTTGAGAGACCGCCTGTTGAATTTTTTTCGCTCTTATTTTTTGCAGATATATTGCTGAATCTCTGAGGAATCGAGAACTCAGCAAGCGGTCTTCCGAAAAGTCCTGATTGCTTTCCAAAAAATCCGCGAGCGGGGTGCGAGAGATCAGCAATCTATTTTTCCGGTGCCCGCCTGCCCCCGGCGATTGTCTGCTCAGATAATCGCCGGGGGCAGGCGGTCCGCAAACTCGCGCTTTTCTGCAGGCGGTCAGCAGAATTTTGGGGCGTAGCCAAACCTTCAGCGGGCGGTACTTTCGTCTTCTGCCAGCGGGCAGCAATACAAAATATCCTGCAAGCGCTCCGCAAATAATTTCTTTCAGCGAGCGCTGGCCAAATTTTCAGCAAGCGCTCGGACTCTTTTTAGGCATTTTCAAGCGTACGTCGAGCGCAGGTAAGACTCTGTGTGGCAGAGGTGTCACCGTTGGTTTAGTTACTCAAGTTTGAGGTACTTTCTCTCAGCGGAAAGTACCTGAGGGTTGAGCGGTCCTCCACAAAGGACCGTGCGGCCCTCGAAATTTTTGCATATTCTCGCGGAAAGTCCGCGAGAATGCGGCCATTGCGCCGCAGCTAATCCATAAAGAAACCGCGATTGTTCTTCAAGCTTTCGTCTTTAATTTCGCCAACTTTCTTCCAAATTTCTGCAAGCGGGCCGCAAAAAATCAACGAACTATTTTTCCGGTGCCCGCCTGCCCATAAATCGCATCGCCGCTTGCCCCCGGCGATTATCTGAGTGAGTGAGTAGTGAAATACTAAGGACTGGGGATATTTCATAGGTCGCGAGGTCGGAAGCCCTGCATAGGATGGAAAGCCCTACATAGAAGAGTGCCTTTTAAAAATTTGCACTGATCGCAAATATCACTGGGACGCGTAGTATCGCAGTTGCGCTCTCCAAAGCGATTTTTCATCCCACAGCGCCTACTAGTTACTAGAAGCTGACGGCTACAAAATTCGGAGGGCAGTTGTGGCTGTGAAGCTATCAATACTTGCTAGATACAGGCGAGTAGATTTTCCCGTAAATATGGTGCACCTGCAGAGGCGGCAGCACCAATTGCCTCAGAACCAAAGTTCTGAGTAATTCCAGTGTTTTCCCTGCTCATTCTTCGTTTGTAAAGTATGCTCAGTCGACTGGAAGCAAAAGGTAAGTTAGAAAGCAGCTTTTGTCATTTTAACCAATCTCTTTTAAGTTCAGGTATACCTCCTGGTACAGCACCGCATTTGGTTGCAACGTAACCTTTTCTCTCATCTCTTCTCTACAAATGTTAATTTGAAACAAACACTAGCAGGTTTCTGCACCCAATTCAACTCTCCCTTATCACAAGCAGTACTGATGTGAGACAATGTTATTTAGATGAGCTCTCTGTTGGTAAGTATTTTGACTATAAAGACATTGGCGTGTACAAAAACGTTTTTTGACGAAAAAGAGGTGAAAGAAAGAGTTACGTCACAAACAATTCAAGCAATACAGCTCTCATTGGGTACGCTTAAATTCAAACGACGATATGACTGGTCAAAAGAACAAAAGCTGCTTTCTCACTTACCTTCTGCTCCGAGTCGAAAGGCATGCCTGAAAAATGTAGAGTGAGCAAAACCCTGAGATCACCTGAAACTTCCCGCTCTTCGGCGACTGTTCACGCGCAAGTGCTGCCGGCGGCGGCCCAGGAGTCCCCAAAGCCTCGCCACCTTTTCTTGCAGGGGGTACACTTAGCACTTACAAAAAGGCACTCACTTAGCACTTACTTCTAAAGAAGGGGCACTCGCACTTTTTAGACAGCTCCGCACATTTGCCCCGCACACTGGCTAATCTCTTACGGGTTGTCCAGGTTGAGGATAGTTCTCAAATGTTCTGGATGAATGAGGAAGGATAGAAAGTGACAGACCAGAAATTATGAAGGATGACCTTTGAACATGTTCCCTTGCAACATAGGGAAGGAAATATCAAAGCGATCTTTTGACCATGAGGCGTTAGTGTGGGCACCGCTTTGTCGAAAAAAGAGAAAACTCTTCTTTCCTTTTCGAAATTCTAATCGTGATAAGTGTATATAAGTACGGCTGATTGTGTACCTACTGAGCAGGCAACAGGTGTTCCAAATTTCTTCTGACTGAGTTTTGACTTCGATTTTTCCGACATTTGGAGTTTTTCTGGTTTTCGGTTACAACTTCGCGTAGTTCAACTTTCATGCAAATGCGATGCACTCCCTTGTAGTGCTTGCTTTGCTTTGTCGACTAGAGAATCACAGAAAGTATACGGCATATGTAAAATATGGCCTAATACGGTCAATGCGACTGCCTTGGAGTAAGACTCATGTCACAACCGAAAACTTATTTTCAACGATTTTTCCTTAGAATTTGAATGAGTGTTCGACATGAAAGTCCCTAAAATTGTATTGAATTGTGTTTGAGTGTCCATGATAATGAATGTAAAGATCCTTCTTTGGAAAGGTTTGGTACTACTGTTGCAAAAAAATTTGAGCAGCTAAGTATTTGTAGCTGCTATTTGCATGCTAAAACGATTTTACGCAGCCTACGGTACTCATTAAACATATGCAAAAGTTTTCGCGTAATTCAAAGGAAATTCGATAACTTACAAAATCTAGACCTAAAATGGCTTGTTCAAAAAGAAGTGGGTTTTGCGTTTCACTCAGAGAAACAAGATTTCAAATATTGTATTTCAAAATTCGTAACTATGAGTTTATTTGGAAATAGTATCAGAAAGTGCCCATAGTTATGTATCCTCAAGAAGTCTCTGGGACGTTCATAGCAATACTCCGTAACGTGACAAGCTTTAGTCTATGATAGTGTAGAAACAAATACTGTAAAAGATATCCCTTTGCAAAGAAAATTACTTCTTCTGTATCAAAAAGACATCTCACAGTACTTTCTTTGAATACTGTAAGGCCTTTCCTCGGATGTCAAAGTGCGTATAAAAGACAATAATAAGGGGGATTGCACTGCAAGCACATTTTTTCTAACTAATTTTCGCATTTGCATGTCTATGCTATTCCCGCAGCCCCCAGCCTTCGAATGAGACCATTAAAGCGATGGGCGGGACTTTACCTTTGCGCGAAGGTGCGAAGAGCCTTCTGGAATGTGAATGCTTATGCGAATGGAGGTGCTAAGAACTCCTGCGTCCGCTGCAGTGCTGCAGCTCATGCGGGCCACTATATGTATGCTCTCTAATCTCCCTCCTCATCTATTCTATTCGAGTTGATTACTGAATAAAAACAAACTTCGTCCGGAATACGGTAGTGAATACACGCAAGCGAATGAATGTTCGCTTTTGTTCATTTAGTGTTTCTTACGATTGCGTTAATTTCAAGGTCGTAGTAAGCACATAGTGAGAGAAAAAATCTAAATTGCCGCCATAATAATAGCTCAAAATTAATCACACGTCAGGAAATATTAGGTTGTTGCATAAGTTCTGTCCTATTTGAATTTTTTAAGTTCAAAATGTCATAACTTCTTTCAAAGTCAACTTTTTTCGAAGATCTTAGTTTCCTTGTGTTGAGCAATTCCTTGGCTATCAGATACATATAAAAACCTGCGAACATCCTTGTAAAGGAAGAAGCAAAAACTTAAAATCTTCACTACGTTTCCCTTCAAACTTGTCTTTTTTGACGTGGCAATGCTCCCTTATGAGAATTGGTAGGCATCTTATCTAACAATGGACAGATAGAGAAATTTTCGTAGATTATTTTGCAACATGAAAGAGCTCATAGGGTCTGCGTTGCTGAGAGATTTTTTTGACCGAACAAAAAATTAGTCACTTTTTGACCTCGCTTCAGCTCATGTGTGCATACCTATTTACGAGTTATGAAAATTTTACAATTGACGTGAGCACCGAAAAAAAACTGGTGGATGGGCTCTGCTAGCTCTTGCTTTGCCCTAGCACCTGCAACTTTGAAGTCGTCGATTACTTCTGTTCGCAGAAAGTTTCAGCTTGTAAAACATCTATACAGAAAATTAATGTTCGACGACAAGTTTCACTAGCAAGACGTTTTCTTCACACAACCGAACTTGGGCATATATCAGCCTTCTATGTACGCCCTTCCGCAGCCAATGAAAGAACTTGACTTGAAGGGCGCATTATGGGGATTTCCTCGCAAAAACATATTTCTAGGGTGAGAACGTACCTCGGCCACTTGGAGTTTTTAGGCCTGAAATCTCCTTACACTAAGAAATTTATTGGAATTTGATATGCTTTAGAAAGCGCAAGATAAGCACTTTCTAATAATACTAACAATACCGCATTAGAGATAAAATTCTCTTAGAACAGCTGTTTCAAACATGAGGCAAAAAAATCGGACAGAACTTATGCAACAACCTAATAGGTAGTATTGAATGTGGTTTTGATTCAGGAATTCCAAAAAATAGTAGATGTTGCGGAAGGTGTGGTAGTATTTTCCTTTGGATCTATAGCATCCGCCCATAAAATGCCGATCAGTTGGAAGCTTGCATTTATCGAGGCGTTCAAACGTTTTCCGAAGAAACATGTAATTTGGAGATATGAAGGAGCGGATTTACAAGGTCTCTTCTTCTACAACAATACTCGATGACCGTGAATTTTTAGGATATGTTTTGAAAACGCTCTAGAATGCCGACCTTAAAACTTTGTTCGCTGATTGCCAGATGGTTTTTTGAAAAGAGTCAACGCCCTCAAAGCGCAAAAGTTGCCATACTAAATAAAATCAACCGCATCTCCTGTATACTAACCTTGCCATTTGCACCTTTACTTACTCGGTCTCTCGTTTCCTTCTGCAAGTACGTCAACTTCGATCGAATACGCCATTTACTTTTTCTCGGAGAATCGTTCGGCAGCTGGCAAACGCAAACACAGTTTTGAGAGTTTTTAAGACAAACACCATAACCTATACTACAAGGTATCATGGTCATTGAGCACCTCTTCCACATTAACAGCAAGAGCAGATCAAAAAGTTTTACAGATAAACTGCCGCCGAACGTCCATTTGTTCAAATGGATCCCACAAGCAGATCTCCTGCAGAATTCGAAAACAGAGGCCTTTTTGACACATGGAGGGTACAACAGCGTACAAGTATGCACAGTGAATTCTTCACACTTCACATCAGACATCGATTACATGTGATAACATACAGGAAGCTATCTCAGCTGGTGTACCCATGATTACTATAGCACTTTTTGGTGATCAGCCAAAGAATGCGAAACTGGCGGAAAGGCAACAGTTTTCAATAAATATCCCTAAAAGCAAGGTTAATGCAGATGCGATAGCTGGAGCTCTACAAAAAATTTTCACTGATACAAGGTCAGTTCAGCACATTTAGAAATACCGATTTATTCGCTTCTCTTTCTTTGCAGTTATTCGCAAAGGATCAAACGATTTTCACAAATGGTCAGGAAGAAACCAGTCAGTCCATCGCACTTACTAATTTCTTGGTCGGAATTCACTGCAGAGTTCAAGACTTTGGAGAACCTTGTTCCAGCTGGGAATAAGCTAAATTTTTTCCAGTACCACTCATTAGATGTCATTGCTTTCCTTTTGTCTATAATTCTCTTTATTGCTTTTGTTTTATTTACAATTGCGAAAGTTTTGCTAAGGAAATTGTGGTCTACATTAAGAACTTCGAAGTTGAAAAATGAGTAGGGTAAGAAATGCTTGGGTACAAGGCTTCTGTTTTCTCCAGGATTCGACAGTCAACTAATAAATAATTTGCTTTTGTGAGGTTTTTTGTAATTAAGTGCTGCAAGCAATTTGGTGTGATAAATGTGAATGAGGATATTTTTCATCATATTTGTTTCTCGAGGTTTGAACGCCATGATTTCAAGGTTTATGCTCTGTAGGACGTCTGAAAAATACTAAATTCTTCTTGTCGTTCTTAGGCCTTACAGTTAGGCATACCTCATGCGATTTCAGTCGCTGAGCGATTCAGCACGGAAGCGACTGTTCATAATTGGTCGTTACTTTCCTTTGTTTAAACAGTACCTGATCTGTTTGCAAGAATTTACAAAAGCTACGCGCCTATGTCCTTGAAAATCGTCCACGACGAATTTGTGAAAATCTGGCAGAACGCCAAGTCGCATGGACGTCGCAATTTGGTCGAATCGCATGAGCCTTAGGCCTTATACAAAACATCCCTAGCTGCGCTTCCTTTAGCACATGTAGCACAGCTCTTAGAGAGAGAAAAGTACTGCTAAAAAAGGAGAACAAAAATACTGCTTTAAGTTGCTGTAAAGCACGCGAGGGCACCGTATAAACATGTGCAAACAAGTGACCTTTCTGCTGCTTTTGCGCAAGAGATATAAGTCGTTCGCGCTGCGCTCGGAGAGTAACGCTGTCGCGTAAGTGAAGATAGTACGGGCGCAGAGAAAACATGCGGCGACAGTGCACGGGGAAAGAGGAGTGACGCGCAATGCACACCTTGCGCACTCTCCGCGCCCTGCGCGGACGGCCTATATCCAGCCTGACCAGGTAGTCTGACGAGCTTGTCCAAGCGTCTAATAATAAATTAGATTTGACTTAACTAGAATATAGGGGTAGCATGTCGTGACAATTCCTGCGTAACCTCTTGAAGCTAATTTTTTTGAGTTACAAACGCATTTCTTGGAGAAAAACATAATGTGGTGCAGTCGCTAAATCATGTAGTAAACTTAACACTTTAGCCATCTTCATTTCAGAGCCCCTTACAAGCTCTTTGCTTTTTCAAAAACGAATTGCTATTGGCTTTGAAAGCTTAATGAAGTCTACTTTGGTCCTCTCACATTTTTGTAATTCTTCTAATCATTAAACCCTCTCTCGGCAAAAATGTTCTAGTCGCTTTCATCGGAAAGAGTTCAATTTCTCTTGCCAATCACAAAAATTTGGGAACATTACAGTCCTTTCAAATGCCGTCTTTCCATCAAAATCTTGGTCTGCCTACACCAAAGCGTCGTCCAACAGTTGGTGTTCCGTGCGTGAAAGATGTTCTTGTTCAATATTTTTCGCCTCGTATTCTATGGATTTTCCCACCAAATCGCAACTTTCTTTGACGTATCAATGGAAACATCCTTCAACTTCTTTATTAAAGCTTTGAATCAAAGTTACCTGCTCCTTTCGCCGAAATGCAGGAACCACTCAATTCATTGGTTTCTAGCGCGTCGGAGCAGATTTGCCTCGATTTTTTGGTGGTTGCTCAGGTTTCACAGCCATGTAGGAGCGTTGGAGGAATTATTTCTTTGAATTAGACGTTTTAGGCAAACAGCTACATTCCGTCGGTAAAAAATCTCCGTATCTTGTCAAAAGCCTTTCATGTCATCTCAATGCATACATCTGCAGACCTCTCTACTGATGACAAGTGGACTGTGTCTGACAGAGATAGACGAAAGATTCTAAACGTTCCGTCTAACGTAGTTGTTGAGCTCCCCCGGATGAGATTTTGTCCTCTTCCATCCTTTGATTTTGTTTTCAATCATTTGAAGTCTAGTTTGCTGACAAGTTTTGGTAGTTTTGACGGCCGATTGTAATCGAGTTGAGTAACTCCTATAAGCACTCCGTCATCCGTGTCAGTATATAGGATGCGCAAAAAGTACTGTCCCTCAGTTTGCCTCCCAAAAAATCTCACAAATGGGAAAAATCTATAGTTTCTTAATTCGTAGATATAGGCGAGACCTTGGAGGTTAGAATATGAAAAATTTGATTTGAAACGGTCTTCTTATGGCTATTTGAACGAGCGATTTTAGGAAAGGGTCATCGACGATGAGCAGCAGCGTTTGGGCGCAGTGGACCGTAACTATACCACCAAGACTGATATCAATCTCAAATTAAGGTAGCATGTAAAGCATAACCTCCCCTCCAAAATTTTGTACTTTATAAGGACCAGTGATTTGGGGTTTCGGCTAAATAAGAAGAATTATATCCCAAACGAATCCCAAAAATTTACGGAAAGAGGTTAATCAGATTTGCTTGCTCATCCAAAGTCCAGATTCAAACAAGAAGTAACAGGAATAAGAGCATCGGGCTTTGTCCACATTATAATTTTGAGTTAGTAAACGATTGTATTTCGTTTTTGCACCACTTTTTCTAATCGCACCCTGTTGCGCCGCAAACGCTAATTCGATCCCAAATTTTCGAAGTGCAACTGCTGTCTGGCTACTTCCAGCATATTTAATATTAGGTTGATGCAAAAGGAATGGCCGATTTGCGAATTCTCACTTTGATGTGCTATAACTTTCTGAAAGATCCACATTTCTGAATGCGGTAAAGACCTCCAGAAGCAGCAATCCTTTCTCAATACAGCGCATACTTAGTTATACTCAAACCATAAACGGGAAGGGGACTACGGACTAAAAGACAAAAAAGGTTCTTCTGAGGGAACCTTGTTTTTGACAATTCATAACTTCCTTCAGAGTTTCTTAGTATGAATGAAAAGTGGCCTATCTTGTAGCCGCAAGTCAGTAGTACAAAATACATTAAAAAGAATTCAAACAAAAAAGTTTGCGAGAAAGAAAAAATTGAAATTTAAAATTTCTCAGTTTTTTCAACATTTTTTCAGTGTGCCTCAAGGTCCGGAATATAGAATTTTCTGATTTTCTTCGTACTGAACAGCTGGATGTTTTTGCAAAAACTGCTAATAAATGTCCTAGCTCTACGCTTACAGAATTGAGCAAAGCTTTGGCGACTGACTTCCTCAAAAGAAAATTATGGGTCATAAAATGACCGCAACAGCTACACATATTTAGGCTCCGATATCTCAGTCTGGATAGCTTTAAAAAATGCAGTTAAGTATGCACAATGTAGAAAATTTCTATTACATACAATAGCTAAATTTTTGGAGAAATCCCATTGATACGCGCTTGAATTCTGGCCGGAAAAGTGAGTGCAAAGAAATTCTGAATTTGGATGCAGTTATTTACAGCTTGTAACTTTATAAGAAATGAGGATGAGAGTCCGTTTCAAGCACCGTTAGATAGAGCATGAAAACAGCTTTGCGACAATATACTACCTCCATTGTGAAGAAGAAGTATTGATGGAAAAAAGTTGCTCTGAAAAAAGGCTTGGAAAATCGGCCATTTCTTTTGCATCAACCTAATAGAAGACTTCTCAAATCCACGTTAGAATCAAAGGATTTTCCAAAAAACTTCACACTTGAAAAGGAGTTGCAAGATTTGATATATTAGGGGCCCCGGCCAGCTTTCCATAGGTACCTCCGCGGCTCATACACATCGCGCGCCAACGCGTGCTCTGTTGACGCTTCTCATCTTACTTGTGAACAAAAAAAAACATTTTTACGAGAAGAGAAGATAGGAAAAAATAAGAAGTGGAAACCCTCTAATCTCAGCTCGAGAAAAGCCTAAGCAAAAGAGAGCTATCACCACTTCCACTGACACTTAGTTTCTTAGCAATCTTATGAATAATTGTATGATACTACTAGTGATGGGTGAAAATTATAGAAGTTACAGAGAGAGGAGCATTTCTGAAACGTTTTCCTTCAGTAGTCGTAATAAACCTGAGAAGTGTAAGCTCGAGAGCGTGATTGTACAAGAAGAAGCTTCAATGCCGCATGGAAAGGGAACTAAAAGCACTCATACAAAACAAACTCATTCGGAGAGATACGCTAGGTTCGTGATAGAGACCTTGGCAGATAGCTCTCCCTAAAATGCACTCAATCTTCACCATCGAGGGAAAAAACTAGAACTTTTTGAGATAAATGCTACTCAGGACTTTTGTAAAAACTTTTAGACATCAGCGTCGTGAGTCGCTTAACCATAAAATAAAGAGATTACAGAGAAAACAAAGTCAGTAAACATAGAAAAACGCATAAAAACCATTAGAGGCGGGATGAAAAGCACACTGAAGGCATGCGCTGCGTGCGTGGCGCGGAAGTACATATGGGAAGCTGGCCGGAGTCCACACCTTATGGGATGCGCTGCGAAAAGGACTCTGCCGCCGGATGAGATTGCAGAATTTTTGAGCCAGTAATTGTGAAATGCTAAAATACATTTATATCTTAGGATTTATGTAAAATTCACCAGAAAAAGTCTGGGAATTACGCCGATTTTTTGCCTTTATTTTGAGGGACAGTACTTCTTCCGCACCCTGTACAATCAACTTATAAAACTCTTTCTGGCATTTGAGATAAGCAAATTGGTACTACTGCACTACACCAATCCTAGAAAAACCTCGGTACATGAGGGCTATTTAATGTGCTGATCACGATTCTGATATTCATTCGTTACGGCAGCATCTCATTCCTGGGTTACGGTGAGTAACGGTATGGAGTCAAAATTTCAGATTTCGCTGAAACTTCGTGTAGGAGAGCTGTTTGACATGCTGATTACGAATACCACAGTTTTTGCGCATGAAAACGTCTCCCTGTATGGTTGAGGAATGTGTGTAGAGTGGGAGGGGTCAAAATCGAACTTGGATGGAACTTAGTCTGGAGGGGTTATTTAACATGCTTCGAGTATCGTAGTCTTCTTTTCTTTTGAAACCTTTCTGTAGAGCTGGTAGGTATATGGTAAAGGGTCAAAAGTGTAAATCCGCCTGAAACTTCAAGAGGGAGATCACCTGACGTGCTGATCACGAGTATTGCGCTTATTTCAAACGATAAGTCGTTTTCGTAAATTTTTGGGATCCATTTGACCTGAAGCGGAAGGAGTATTCATTCATATGCTAAAAATTACCAAGTGAGGGGTTGCTGTCTGAGAAAGCATGTTGTAATAATCAGCATGCTTAGAAACCCCTTTCTGCGAAGTTTTGAGTAAATTTGGAACTTCCCTGCTTACCGTATATCGACCGTAAACCATGACGTTACCTTGCAAAATCAACATGCCATTCATGCTCAGCATGTCAAATAACCCCTCCAGACAAACCATTCAAATCTGGATTTTGACCCCTATGCACCTACCGTAACCATCAGGGGACGTTGTCGTGTGGAATAAGTGCGGTATTCGTAATCAGCATGTCAAACAGCCGAAGTTTCATCGAAATCTGAGATTTTGACCCCATACTATATACCCACCGTAACTCTGGAATGAAACGCTACGTGACGAATGAATATGAGATTCGTGATCAGCACGTCGACTAACTCCCCTATATGAGGGTTACGAGATTTTCAATTTTTGGGGTCGGTCTAGAATAGAGCCAGCAAATCAACATATGAAAATTTTTTCGTTTCTGCATATCAAACTAAACCATACCCTTTGTTGATCGGCAACCGCAGCAGGTCTGACTCACGTGACTTAGATAGCTTCTATTTCCACCTATACGTGCGTTAAAACCGACTAAAAGTTGTGTGAGCAACTTTTTGAGATATTGCACTGCGGAGCTCATTTAGATCTTTGTAGTTTTTCTTGCCAATGAGCTAGACTACAGTTACACGCAAAGATTTTTTACGCAAAACAAATTGAGTCTGTAAAAAACGCTTGGAGAGGAGCCCTACGTCTGCGCGATGTCGTTGTAATCGCTTTGAACATTGGTCAGTACCTCACCTCCTTGCGAGTAGCTCCTCTTTCGGTATATCTCTGCTGTAAGAATGTATACAGGAAGATGTGCGCTTTGCGTTTTAATTACCTGTTCGGCATGTTCGCAAAGAGCCCCAATATCAAACTTCTTAAATTCAGCTCCTCGTCAAGCGTTGTTAGTCTCTTTCAATGATAAGAACAGACACGCTAAAAACATACTTGAATCTGCTCTCGGCGTCTCTGGATCATGCTTTTCTTGACTTCAGGCTAGGCCATCTGGCAGAACTAGTTTCTTCCGCCGGGTTCTTCTCACATTCTTTAATGGAATATGTTACAGCCAGAAGACAGCCAACCCTTCAAGGGGAGCAAGGAAAGAAAAATGCAGAGGCTCCACATCGACCCAAAGAAAGTGCGGTTTACTATTGTAAAGCAGGTTTTCCAACTTATAGTGGCTATTATAAACTGATAACTGTGGATATTTGTACTGAAGACATTTGTTGACCTTAGAGGCAGCGTCCAGGCAAATCTGGACCTATGGAGATTTCACGGAGAAAGTATTTTTGGAGCCCTAAGTAAGCCACTGCCCAACCGGCAGCTCAGGTAGTGCTCTGATGCTGAGATATCCTCGAAACTGGACCCCAGTATCGTGTATAGAACGAATCGCTGGCGCAACCCATTCGATTCGCGCGAGGACCCACGCAAAACTGATGAATTGCGCCTTATATCTATCGAAATACGGTCCAGTTTCGAGGGATTATCTCAACAGTTAGAGCACTACCTGACCTGCCGGTTGGGCTGTGGTTTAGTTAAGGCCCTAAAATTACTACCCACGTAAGATCCTCATATGTCCAAATTTGCCTGGACGCTGCCTTCAATTGAAGCAGCTCTGAATACAAGCACTTTGAGGCCTCCAAAGATGGCTCGCTCCAAGTTAAAAATAGATACCGTTACTGTTCTCTTATCACACTCTGCGTCGCCCATCACCCACCTGCCTGATAAGAAATTTCGAAAAATTCCAGAAGTGGCAAGCACTAATTGGCATTTTCAAAGTTTTCGTTCACATGTGTCTGATGAACAGTTTATTTCTTGTTTCATGTTCCTGAAACAGCTAATCGTAATCTCTTTTCTGTCCATTCTGTTAGTAGAAACTGCAACGAGAACAAGGCTTTACCTTGCGGAAAAGAAACCCGAAGCACTGAAATGCTTAATATCTTTCCAGTAGACCTTGATCGAAAAGAACAGCGTTTTGCTTTTCATCTGCTTTTCCTTGGTTATCTTATATGCGTGTCAATTTAGAAATGTTCATGTTGCTGCTTCTCGTCCTTTTGGCTTACTCAACCCACAGTTATAAGATGGCCGTAATTGTCTGGGATATCTCCAATAGTCAGGTGCGACACCAGCAGGAAAAGAATAATGTCATAAATATTGTAAGCGACAAGTGTGTGGAAGAGAAACGGAACAGAAGTACGCTATGTTTCGGAGTATAATACGCAATTGTTTGAACCCTTGCAAGATAGTCTGCGTTACGCGAGCAACGTGCAACGCCAGCTAGGGCTTTTTACTGTTCGCAAGTTTCTAGCCAATTTTATATCATGAATAGTTGCAAAATAACTCCCCCCCCCCCCGTCTTCTCTTTCGTTTTGAAAACTGAAAATTTTTGACTCAAAGTTTATCTACAGAAAATTCATTGACGGGAAGCTCTTACTCAGCAGTAATGTCATCAATACCGATAGCACCAGTTGCGCAAGGACAACCTCTAAATCGCTATTTTTCTGATAAAATACAGCAAGTGCGCCTTAACACAAGCGTTTTACATTCTTGAAAATAGAGTGATTCAATCCTGTATAACAAACCATAGCACCTGTGAACCACTGCGAATATAACATTCACAGAGCATGCAAGCCTGGTAGAAACCTGCTCTCTCCAGGAAAATATCAACAAATTTTGAAAGTAATCTCACATTTTGACTCAGCGACAGATCCAGGATGAAGCCTTATGGTGGTCTATGTTGTACTCATGCAGCCTTCCATATCCTTTCTCTTAACGAACTGAAGTCTTCGAATGCTCTCTGGAAAGGTTCTGTAGTTTTCAGATGACTAACGCCACCAGCCTAAACTCAACGGTTTCTGCAAACTTTTGTCTCAGACCTTCAATCGAGTAATCCTCAGAGAGCAAACGTACCCTAAAATCTTACAAATAAGTCCGCTTTTTGACAAGAATCGATGAGTTCGCACCTTCGCGCCGCAAAGAATCTTGCAGATAAGTTCTCTCATCAGATAAGTCCGCCTACAGTTAAAGGCAGCGTCCGGGCAAAAAGTCGATTTTGAGATTTTGTGCTTACCCGGGCCTATTCTCTATGCTGAATCCGAAAATCACCACTAGAGAGCGCGAAAACGGCGAAAAAGGGGTCTAACGCAGGAGGAGAATCAGCAGGGGCGGAGCGTCCGCCAGGGTGGATTCTCGCTCTCAGCTTCCGGAGCAATCTTCTCGATTCCTTTAGTCGCCCTAACATCGCTACCGGCCAAGTGCAAACGCGTAATTTGAGATCGGAACCGAGAAGATTGCAAGCTGAGAGCGAGAATCCACCCTGGCGGACGCTCCGCCCCCTGCTGATTTTCCTCCTGCGTTAGACCCCTTTTTCGCCGTTTTCGCGCTCTCTAGTGGTGATTTTCGGATTCAGCATAGCGAGTAGGCCCGGGTAAGCACAAAATCTCAAAATCGACTTTTTGCCTGGGCGCTGCCTTTAAGTCCGGACTTATCTGACAGTCTCAAACTTATCTGGCAAGATTTCAGGGTAGTTATAATGAAAAGAAAGCGGACTTATCTGTAAGCAGACTTATTTGAAGGGCTTTTTATGAGTCAAAAAAGCGGACTTATCTGATGGCGGACTTATCTGTAGACCGACTTATCTGATGGGAGGACTTATCTGTGAAATTTTAGGGTAATAGAATATATCACTTTTCGTGCTTTTCAGCTAACATTTTCGAATTTCCAAGAAACTTCTAGCATCAAATCAGCCCATGTTGCATCCCATAACTCGAAAACCATTTAAGTAGAGCATATTGACAAATTGCATATTTAGTGCGTTAAACATCTCAAATTTAGAGCTCAGGGATTATGCATCCTCCAACTAACTCATTGCAAAATGTCAATTATTCAGAGTACAGAGATGCTGGTGAAAAAATCCTGCAAAAAGTATCTTAACCTAATTTCACGCGTATAAAGCGCACTTTCTTCGAATTTTTAAGCGAGCCGCGCCGGTTCACTGCATCCCGGAAAGAAATCCTTACATCGCACGATTCTCTCAAGCAATATACAGTATACTTGGGTAATTCGAAAATTTTTCATCGAATGAATGAGTATCGAATAAATTCGAAAACGAAAAATTTCGAATAAACGAATATCGAATAAATTCGAAATCGAATAAATTTGAAGTTCAAAAATTCTCGAATGAATGAATTTCGAATAAATTCGGAAAATCAAAAATATCGAATGGATGAATATCGATTATATTCGAACATTGGAAGTCGAATTTCGAATAAATATTCGAATGATTCATCGAATAGAGCAACCATATCTCAAACGATACCGATAACGATCTTGCCGATATATCTGGCTAAAGCCGATCCATTCATAATCAGCACCCTTGTATCCCCTATACCAACTCCTAGCTCAAAATTTTCCAAAAATCGCTGAAATCGATAAAATAGACTTCGGTTATAAAAAGCATCCTCATTTACTCTCCTATATCAACTCCCAACCTCGTAGCTCGAGATTTTCCAAAAATCGACAAAATCGATAAAGTAAATCTTTATTCATAATCAGTGCCCTCACTTAAACCCCTGTACCAACTCTCAGCCCCCCAGCTCAAACTTCTCCAGTAATCGATAAAATCGATAAAATAAATTTTTATCCATAATCAGCACCCTCACTTACCCCTTTGTACCAACTCCCAGCCCCGCAGCTCAAACTTCTCCAAAATTCGATGAAGTTGGTCGGTTGGCAACTAGTCTACAGGGTGTCCGTAAAGTATGTATACACTGTTTCATCGTTAATATCTCCTTTCCCAAGAAGTCTTTTGCCTTGCTTCAGGTACCATTTTGTAGAGCTGGCTTCAACTTAGACTTGCGGTATAGGACGAATCACCCATCTCTCTTCATTACTGTAGGATTACGGTAGAAACTTGAAACATATGATGCCAATGTGGAAAAAGCTGCCGTTACAAAATTTTTCAAAAAAATGTGGAAACTTGTGAAATAGGGTTTTTATAGACGCTGAGTTCAATACTCAACTATTAACAAGATTGTGAAGCTTTTCAAACGGTGTAACCGCACTTTTTAGGAACATTGAAAAAATGGCCGCTACCTCTTACCTGGCATAACTCTTTAATGAAGCGTCATAATAAGTTGGGAACTTTACAATTAGAACCAGCAACTCTAGTTAGCCTAGTGTAAAAGTTTTCAGGCTGTTTTGTTTCCTTTCTGAGGCAAAATATGGCCATTCATGGCTCAAAACCCCCTTTGAAGTTTCCACCGTAATCCTACAGTAATGAAGAAAGATGGGTGATTCGTTCTATACTGCAAGTCTAAGTTGAAGCCAGCTCTACAAAATGGTACCTGAACCAAGGCAAGAGACTTCTTGGGAAAAGAGATTGACGATCAAACAGTGTATACATACTTTACGAACACCCTGTATACATCAGCAAGAAGTATTTTACCCATTATTGGACGATCTAAAAAAGCAGTCGATATAAATTTGATCAAAACTTATTCTAGAATTACAGAATGCAGGGCATTTATCTTTTTAGTAAGTTGTACACGCTAAACATTTGTGGTAAGCTGGCGTTATATTTGAAGACATCTCACTGGTAAATCGAGTACGGCAGTCTAAACCGTCTGATCCTCCACTAAAACTGCGATGTCCTTTACTCAAAATACACCAATTCGCAAAAAATTTCTGAGGTAGCGAATAAAGGCAGTTGTGCAATATAACTTATGCGAGCAAGAGTGCTCACTAGTGTGGGCTTTGCGTACCACAAGCATGAGCAATGCAAAGAAAGAAAAACAGGCATTTCAAAACACTTTCAATAAATGAACTCGGAACATGAGCTTGAATTTGATAGCTTCCTTGATCAACTAAAATCCACATATGATTTTTTTACTGTCGCAAGCAGTCGAAAGAATGCGACTCTCCGTACAGTTTAGAAGTCATAACAGTTGCAAAAGATTCATTACCTAGTTTTGCGAAAAAAATCGCGGACGAAGTAAGCTTGACATTACTCAGCAGATGGCTCTGCAACAAAGTCGAATAATCTGAATACGGAGTTCATTCGAATACGAATTCGAATAAACATTCGAATAAAACATTCGAATAAAATCTATTCGAAACCCCGTTTTTTGATTATTCGAGTTTTCGAATAATATTCGAATCCTCGTTTTTTGATTATTCGAGTTTTCGAATTTTATTCGAAACCCTGTTTTTTGATTCGTTGAATGCTACCAGAATCTATGAAGTATATTTCTTTAGCGGGATGTGACGCGCTTCGAAGGAAAAGAAATTACTATTGGAACGACCTGATACGTATTGGATAAGCGAAAACCATCCAACGCGAAGGGGGGGGGGGAAATATTGAAACTTTTGAAACACAAATGCGATTTTGTTGCATTACAGATTTGAATTCAAAAATTTATGTGATTTATAAGGGGAATTTTAGTTGCTGTTTAACGTGAGAGTAGCCGAAGTGCTGGCAAATGCGGGCCACGATGTCACCATCGTGTGCATATCTTCAATGAGTGACCGGGACAACAGCGACATCAAAATAAGCAGCAAAGTCAAAGGCAAGCCTCGAATTTTTGAAATTTAACCTTGTATAGGAATTTCCTTTAGTTCACACAGTGTTCGCTGCTACAAACTTTACCAGAAAGGAGATGGAAGACAAGCAAGAGGAGTTAGTTTACGGTGTAAGTGAAATGTATAATGACAAAGCTTCGCCCTACTCACATAATTCATCTCCAGGATTTATCTGCACTTCAGTTGATGTCTAGATTTTCTCAGCAGACTCAGATGATTGTCGACACCTGTCGTGGTAAAACTAAAGTTCGCTCAAAAAAGACGTCTTATACTTTTCTATTCTAGCGACATTGAAGAAGAAGGAGCTTATTCCGTGGCTGAAATCACAAAAATTTGATTTGGCTTTCGCTCACATATTTGACGTTTGCCCAATTGCGCTGATCCATGCCGCTAAGATTCCGAGTTGGATATGGCTCAGCAGGTAGTAAAATTACTTGAACGATTTCGGTTCTGAATTCGAGGTATTTATGCAGCGGCACAGTGATGGATTATATGGCATATCTTATCGGAATACCAACAATACCGAGCTACGTGCCGCGTAAGTGTTGTAATGTTTGACAATTCTATAACAATTTTTCAACATGGCTCCCTCGTAACACGAGAGAAGGAACTAAATACTGCGAAATGTTGGGTGCACTTTTTGGGACGCTGCTCACATAGGAAAGATGTGGGCTAGCTCAAAATGTATGGCAGACTCATGTTGCTTGGTCTGCGGAGAGTATTTTGATAGTGAAAGTAAGGAGATACGAATTCGCTGCTAGGACCATCATATGTAATGAAACACATGGTTGTAAAAGCAAATATTCTCAACGTGTGATTAACGTCCACAATTTCAAATTACGCGGAAGTTCCGTCTTTCTTCACAGTTTAAACACATCTTTGATAGAATTTGCTTCCAAAAATGAAAAGAGAGGCGGTCGAAAGCAGACTTTCACTTTATCAACCTCAAACAGCGCCGTTATGAGCTCTCAAACGTCTTGGGGGCTTCCACTTATTGTATGCTCTTGATATCCTCAAATTTTCGCGAAGATTGCGCGAAGACGGTTACGTCCTGAAAAGTTTTCGGGAAGTTAGTACAATTTCGTGGTGAAATTGTACTAACTGCCAATTTAACTTTATTTGCTTATCTCCTCCCACCCCGTTCCATATTTGATCGTCTGATCGTATTTCATTTTTGAGGTGGTGCATCGTTTACGATGTATTTGAATGAATAGATAGATAGATAGATAAATAAATAGATTATTGCTCACATATTAATATATTACTTCATGAGTTAGTGACATAAGAAACCGCTTACAAGTTTCGCGATCCATACGAGGTGAGGAACGTGATTGTTGATCTTTATCACGGAGTTGTAACTTTTACTCAGTAGCAATTTATTAGGCAAATTTTATTTTATTTTTGTTATATTTTATTTAATGTGTTTCATTCAAGGTGCGACATCACGAAAACAGTAAACCACAAAGTGACAAAAACAAACATTGAACAACAATATACTACAAACTTATACTACAGAAATGCAATTTTCAGCTGTTCTGATGACTGCTGTTGGTGAGATGACTTTTACTCAACGAACGAAGAGTCTGATTGGACGTGCGCTTACAAAGTTCTTTTGGAAAAGGTCAGTGATGTTCCTGATGACAGCAAACGTTGCTGTAATAGCTGAATTGTATGAATAACGTTCAAGTTTAGGCAAATTGCTGATCCAGAAATGGAACTTTTTCAAATTCACATATCTCCTGATTTTCCTGATATTCTTGAGCTGGCTGCAAAATGTCCGTTAGTATGTGATTCTGTCGTTACGCGTAGGGGTCTTATACTCGCACTAAAAAGCCGCTGAGGTGCGGAACTTCAACTCCTAACTGATTTTTCTACCTCTTGCTCATTTCACGCTGCGAAACTAAGAGCAGCAGTTTGTTTCATTTGCTTCAAATTATAGGTTCATTATAAAATTTCAAATAACTTTGCTATACAGCAGTTTTCTTGTATTTTTGTCCGTAGACAAGAAGCTTTGGCGATGGTCTGGAACTACGAGCATATCGTCGATTCATTGACCGCATGGACTGCTCAAACGTTGCGGACGATGCGCGGCGCGGCTGAAATTTTACGAGAACGATTTGTACAATGGCGAATTTGTAATGAAGCAAGCGTTTTACCTCGCGGCGCGTGCTCCGCAGTATGTCCAGTCCGTGCGGTCAACGAATCGACTATACACTATATCGGAAAAAGCTACACACTTACACACCTAGTAACAACCGCGCAAGGAAGATATAGCTCATGATGAGTCGCAAAAGTCACCGATCCACCGAAACTCAACGCACATAGTCATTATCTTATCGTTAGTTCAAAGTGGACAAATTCTGAAACCAACGGCAAGTTCGACCAACTCGGCGAAGCTCATTTTCTCGTACATAACAGTTATGGTTTGTGTATACGGTGGCGGTTACATATAATGAGTCTTTTAGATTAGGTAGGCTACGGTAGGTTACTCAGTGTGCAATGAATAAGCGCACCAAGTAAAGTAATCTACTGTAAGCCAAGATCTGATATCCCTGAGAGACCGTTTACCGCGCAGCTACCGTATCCAAAAGGGCTCTTTTATATATCATAAGATGCGCTTGTCCGAGCTAAATGAAACGATGTCATTGGATTCAGAATCGGTCTACTCTGAATCAAGATATGGCAATGCGACGCGCGTTTCGGTGAATCCGGCAGCTTCGATGACTTTCGACTAATTATGGGCATTATTGTCTGTTGGACTTCGGCGAATTGCCAAGTTTTAGACGCAGATATCCGACGGAATTGCTGGAGGCATGACTTATTTAGGCCTAACGTTATGGTAAGAAATTTTGGTTGACTGCCAATTTTTCATATGAATGAAACAGATAAAAAACTTCATTGCTTAGTTTGAGCGAAGTTTTTTTATTCCGCATGTGAACATCGCATTTTATGCTAAATTCATTCGAAGACTACGAATGAATTTAGCGTATCGTAACAGCTGTTTTCTCGAAGTTTTTCAAAAACTTGTGGACTTCATTTGAAATGCGCTTTTCGTTTCTGTCCCCAGAACCTCCAAAACTTTAGGCATAAGGGCAAAAGGGTTATTTATGATAAAAGAGTGGGCATCTAAATTTCTTTCAGACATCATATAAAATGTAAAATTTGAATGAACTTCTAGATCATGGCAAATACCAATGAGCTCTACGATATTCCAAGACCAACACTCGCCAAAGTGGTACAGATAGGCGGAATAGGAATGGAACTCAAGGACGCAAAACCACTACCTAAAGTAGAACTTGGTTTTGCTCCGTTTTAAAAGTGATTTATTTATGTGTTGCAGGATATACAAACAATCGTCGACGATGGAGATGGTGTTATTATATTTTCATTTGGATCTGTCGCTCCTGCACACAAAATGCCTCAGAAGTGGAAGGAAATCTTTTTGAAAACTTTCGAGAAATTCCCCAAATATAAATTCTTGTGGAGATACGAAAAAGATGATATCAAAGGTGAGGTAGTTGTCCCGAGGTGTACTGCCGAAAGCCCATTAGTTGGACTTGAAAGCAAAACGTAGACTTGTATTCTTCAAGCACTGCTTCCTCCAAACGTTCACGCAATCAAATGGCTACCACAAACGGACTTGCTACGCCTTCCAAAGACTCGAGTTTTCATTACCCATGGAGGATTCAACAGCATTCAGGTGAACAATCGTTTGCATTTCAGATCGTAGCTTGCATCGGCGGAACATTACCTCGAGTATCTTTTCGTTTCTTCTTGCGTGCAAGGAATCCTTATCTTACACATGGTCCTCACCTCACTTTGAGGCAGTGTCCCGGCAAAATCTTTTCGCTTTTTCTTTTCGAAGCCTCCTCGCCATGCTGAACCTATATGGGCTTTGCAGCGCACGAAAATTGTGAAAATGATCTTTTTTCGAAGCTCTCCATGCCCACACTCGCTGCAAAGTACGTGTTGGGCGGAGTCAGTCCGAAACGATGTCCGGGGTCCCTAGGACTTCCTTAGCGAACTTCAGACTTTTTAGACAATTAGTTCGAGGGCCTGCCACTGCCACGCTGCAAAATTCCGATACTCATCATTTTGATGCCGCTGCCTTTGAAGCGCTACAGAAGTAATTCATTTTGTTCATTTCATTGAGTGGTGCTACCTTCAAAAATTGTTCTTTGAAGCGATAAAGAGCTGTGAATTGTTGCGAAATAGACCGCCCCGGGGTGAGAAGATGAAAGCTAGAACTTGGGCAAATAACGAACTTTGAACACATTTCTTCTGAATCTTTACAACTTAGGCACAATTTAGTAAATGTATGTGGATAGGCATAAATGGATGTAGGCCGATTTTCCAGCCCATACCGAAACACAATCGCGCACGAGACGTTCTGCGGCTTTTGAATTCGCCACGCATTGAGACAAGTCAAGCAGGGATGCTGATCAGGACCCGGCACGAGTCGGTTTCTAGGGTTTCTGAAAACGAAGTCTCCTGACTTTCGGAAGTTTTACGAAGTAGTCCTCTTTGACCTACCTACTTAGGAGAAGATGAAAAGAAGAAAAATCTACTAATCTGAAAGAAAAAATGTGAGATTAGAGTGAAGATTCAAATTGGAGCTGAATACTATACTTGGGTCCGAATCGAATAGAAATTCGATCATTCGAATAAAACATTCGAATGTATTCGATTCGAAAATTCGATATTCGGAGTTTTTCCACTTTCGAATAAAATTCGAAAACTCGAATAATCAAAAAACGAGGATTCGAATAATATTCGAAAACTCGAATAATCGAAAAACGGGTTTTCGAATAGATTTTATTCGAATGTTTTATTCGAATGTTTATTCGAATTCGTATTCGAATGAACTCCGTATCCAAATTATTCGAGTTTGTTGCAGAGCCAACTGTGAGTACCAAGCTCGCTTCGTTTTCGTATTTTTTTTTACAAGACCAGGTAATGCATCTTTTTTGCAACCGTAACGACCTTTGAACTGTATGGAAAGTCGCATTCCTCCGACTGCTTGCGACATTAAAAAAAATAAATGAGGATTTTAATTGATGCTTTTTCTATCAATGAGTCACAGATGTCTTCAGATGTAACGCCAGCTCACCACTGATGTATAGCGTGTGCAAGCCTCATTTTTATATTTCAGCTCCAGCCAATTTCATTTGCTGCTACTCTGCTAAACTGCCCTTGAAATGTAGTGGACGCCGATTGATTTTATCGATTTTTGGGAAACTTTGAGCTACGGGGCTGGGAGTTGGTACAGGGGGGTAAGTGAGGGTGCTGATTATGAGCTACGGAGCTGGGAGTTGGTACAGGGGGGGGGGGGGTAAGTGAGGGTGCTGATTATGAACAAAACTTTTGTTTATCGATTTTATCGATTTTTGGGAAACTTTGAGCTACGGAGCTGGGAGTTGGTACAGGGGGGTAAGTGAGTGTGCTGATTATGAATAAAATTTTTGTTTATCGATTTCGATTTCTGGGGAGCTTTGAGCTACGGAGCTGGGACTTGGTACAGGGGGGGGGGGGGTAAGTGAGAGTGCTGATATAAACAAAATTTTTGTTTATCGATTTCACCGATTTCTGGAAAAGCTTGAGCTAGGAGTTGGTGTAGGGGATATGAGGGTGCTGATTATGAATGAATCGCTTTTAGCCAGAAATGTCAGCAAGTTTTAGATATGTTGCAGTAGTTATTCGAAAAATCATTCGAATATCTATTCGAAATTCGACTCCCAATGTTCGAATATATTCGATATTCATTCATTCGATATTTTTGATTTTCCGAATTTATTCGAAATTCATTCATTCGAGTTTTTTTAATTTTCGAGTTTATTCGATATTCGTTTATTCGGGTTTTTTTCATTTTCGAATTTATTCGATATTCGTTTATTCGAAATTTTTCATTTTCGAATTTATTCGATATTCATTCATTCGATGGAAAATTTTCGAATTACCCAAGTATACTGAATACTACGCATGCTCAAGAGTTTGGCACTGGAGCGCGATATTTAACAAAGCCATTTACGAAGAAACTAAGGCAAAAAACCAAGGGAAGGGAATGATATGATGTCTTCATGCTCAGGGATAGATTTTTGGCCGCGAAATCCGTCCATGATAGAAAAAATCAAAACTTATGTGAAGTGACAGAAATATATGCTCCAGACGGCCTCAGATCGTCTGGTGGAGACGATCTAATCTTGGAAAAGGTATTACTTCACATAAGTTTTCAAACCTTTATACATAATTCTTTTGCAAATAATTTTTAATGTATACGGTACAATTTTGGTGTCATATGACTTTGTGTGCACTGTAAACAAGCAATTTGTTTATTTTAGCCTTGCTTTCAAATCGCGCGCACTTTTCGCCACACACGATAGAGCACAATCGTGTGATAACCTGTCGGAAAAGCTTGTGTTCGACCAAATGGCGCTAATTCTTAGTGCTCGTCCCCGACTCGTCAAAAACGATATCTCCTTTGCTTTTTGCTCCGAAAACAAAGTCCAGCCTGCTTCCAGACGATCTGTGCCGGGCCCTGACTCCGTGCACGAGCAAATTTTATGAAACTTGTGAACAGGCACCGCCTGTAAGATCTGTTTCCAATAATGCGATGTGGTCTAAAATGAGTGCATTTGCGCGTGCTTGTAACATGTGATGGAACTAGAAAGTCTTATGTAAGTAGGACATAACTTGTGGCTCGCTTTACCCTGCCAATTCTCTGAGCTGTCAGGTACGACTATCCTGTCCTAGATGTTTATCTATCAAAAATGTTCCAGGCAGTGTTGGTATCATGTGTGTTTTTAAACAAGAAAAGTAACGCAATAATCTTGTGCTTAGAAATGACCCACAAATTTTTATAGCCACCTGAAATTTGGAAAAATAACCTTCATTATTGGTCACAGGAAGCGATCAACACCGGCGTGCCTGTCATTTCGATACCTCTCTTCGGCGATCAACCGAAGAATGCACTGCTTGCCAAACATCATGGGTTTGGCTTAGTCTTACAAAAAAGCGAAATATCAGTTGAAACAGTCTCCGCTGCCATCAATGAGATCATCTCCAATGAGAGGTAAAAGAAATTACCCCATCAATTGTCAAGTGCTTTTACTCTTGCAGTTTAGGTATGCCACTGCTGCAAAGAGAATGTCGAACATGGTAAAGCACAAGCCGGTCAGCCCAGCCCACCTGTTGGTAAGATGGGCGGAGTTCGTTGCAGAGTTCAAAACGCTGGAGAACCTCGAGCCAGCTGGGAATAAACTCAACTTCATCCAGTACCATTCGCTCGATGTTATTCTTGCACTATCCGTCCTTGTAATTGGTGTCTTCGCGCTTGTAGCCGTCTTGTTGAGTTATACTGTGCGCAGACTCGTGGCTGCCACGAGTGTATCCAAGACAAAAAGGGACTGATTGTTAAACAACGAGTGTGGTAGACCTTAAGAGAATCCAGTCAAGAGCATATACGAGGTCGTGTTTCGTTGTACACTCGCTGCCACTGAATCACAATATTTTATGAATAAATTCTTGAATTTCCTCCATCGACATTTCCTCCATCGTATACAAACCGCTGGGTTGTCTCAGTAAGTTTTTATCCACCTTAACGTTAAAATCAGTATTTTTTGAGGACTGGGGCACCTACAAAGAAAAAACTACATGATCGTATTTCTAAATATAGACTATATAATTACACTCAGGACCGCTAGGGGCAGATTCGTTGCTTCCATCCTTTTTTCTTTATTTCCAGTCATGGAAAAAATGCGAAGAGTGTACAGTTGAATGTTCGATGTTTTAAACATATGTTAGGGTAAATGAGGAATCAAGGTTTTCTAAGAAGGAGATACGATTTTTGACGCTAAAGTGCCTTTCGAACTACTTTCAGATTTTAGTTTGAAACTACGCACGAATTGGCATTTACGCAAACCCTCGTTAGCCATCTTGTAGAGCTTGCTTTGCTCTATCGAATAGTTACCCAAGTTACCTATTTATTGGAGGAGAGATATATAGAACGACGGCTTCAGCCGGCTCCAGTAAATTCGAAAGAATTATGGCATCCTAATGCAATACCTCTGATATGATTACATTATCAGTTTTTCATTGGCAACTGTTGCGCAATGTTTACTCAAACAATAATAGATTTGAAAATATCCTTATCGGTGTGTGTATTTCCATATTTTCGACCTTCTATGATTCCATGACCGCGTTAGAGCGTATGATTCATCAAAGAGAAACCTTTGCCGCCAACCAAAAGTATGTAGGAATGCAATAACAAGCACAAACAACGCAATCTGTTGATCACGTTGAAAGGTTGAAAAAAAACAATTCATATTTTTTTGCACGGCTTATTCTTGATGTTAGGAAAGGAAGCTCTCAAAACTGCATACCCAAAAATTTCTACCTTCGCCAAAAGTAAAGTAGAGCCCATAATCTGGGGAATGATTGGTTACAACGTATCAATTTTGATGCTATCGCCGGATCTCAAATTGATTCAAAATGATTTTCAGAGATCCAGCGTCGATCTTCAAAAAGCCGGTGATCAAGGATTATCGAATCTAAAGGATTCTTGAATTATATTTGATGCAATCAATGAAATTTAAATCTTCTACAGTGTTGTTTGTGTTTATGGAACGACAACAGCTTAGGGGTTTATGAAAGACACAAAAAAGCTTCCATTCAAAATTCTGATAAAATTCCACACATCAGGAACAACTTCGTGACTGTTCTTTAAAAAGATTTTTCTAATTTTTGCCAGACGTTCTATCAATCTCTGAGCTGTTTGTTAACAATAATATAATTAACAATGTCAAAATTTGACTTATATCAAGTCTTTAGTGTGCCAATTTTTTGTCGCAATCTTGTCATTTATTCGATGCGGGATCGTTCGGATAAAATTTTCCAAAAAAATTTTCTTGGACTTCGAATCCTTGCATCACTGACTTTTTTTAAAAGTAGGATTTTGAGTCATTTTGATCCAAGATACAAGGCCTCGACGGTTTCCATGATTATCGCCCCGCAACCCGTCTTTTCCATATAAATAGGGCTATGCTAAGCTAAAAACCTAAATGACAACACTTCACCGTGATCACTTTATCAAATGCTTGGGAGACCTCACGGTAATACCAAGCATCGCAAGATAATTGTTGTTATTAATATCTAAACTGCTATTCAAAATTAGTTTCCTCATAGTTCCCTTAGGAACAGCAAGAAGAAAGGCAATTCGGTTGGGTAACTGACAAGATTAATATGGTTCAAAGACCAGAGAAATTTTACGTTTATTAGACTTATTTCCGTTGAACTATAGGAAACGCATATTTTTTGGTCAATCCGTAGATACAGAAATTCGGAGAAGTACATAGGCTAGCGATTGAGTCAAAAAGTGGATTTGGAGGCCTATGTACACATACTGAATCCAGAGGAAAAAGTACTTTGTAGGTCATTTTTAACAAAAAAAAATTTTGATATGTCGTCGCTGTTTTATCATAATTATGTCCGCTAGGTAGAAAAGCATTTCTCACAACTACTGGATAGCCCTAACACTGTTTTAGCAATGCAAAATCTCATAAGATCAAACTGCGCATCACTGGCGTATGATTGAAGCCTTCATCTGCTTGCGAGGAGCTGAAATGTTCTTTATGTAGCTACATTTGGCACTGGAGTCTCTAAGAATATTCAAATGCTAAATGTACAGCTATGCAAACAGATTTTCAGGCTTCAGCAGCATTCGTTGAAGTAAGAACAAGACCCACAAACATTTAGGTGCGAATCAAGTGAGGTGGCTATTCTTTGCTGTGTGTCTAACCAGTATACAGAAAAAAATTCTTTAGAGACGTCTTGATGCCAACTATCATAGTTATTAGAAGTTTCTACTACAGTCAAGCGTATTTAACTTAAAAATTTGTAAGACTAGGCAACGCGATGTTATGTTGCTCTAATCCTGCGCGCTCCATTTCTCTATTTGGTAAGTTGTAAAATAGATTGATAGGTACTAGGTCCAACATATGCACGCTTTTCCTCTCGCGTAGAAAAATCTTACTCTTCGAATTTGTCTTCAACTATTAAAGAATTCCTTATTTATTCTAACATCGGCAGCAATCCAAATAACGTGACATTAGGGGTATTCAATATTGCACATGTTAGAGTACATCGATAGTAGGCAGGGATCAGCTAGGTAAGCAGAACCGCCAATTAGTTTTTTTTCATTAGCGGCAGTAGAAAAAATCAAATATCGGAAAGTTGGCACACTTGCGCCGCCAGAGAAGGGCTCGAATAATGGTTTTTTTGACTTGCTCATAAAAATTCCTGTCCAACAAAGACAACTTGAAATCTTGTTTAGCCATGAAATAACCTCTGAAGTTTAGGCTATTCAATGATGTCAGCCAAATATGTCTGCTTATCTAAATATGGTAGCACTAGTATGTCAAACTAGAAGGTCTTGAAGGGAGTCTTAAAGAATTTTCCAGATTTTCTTTTCATTCTCACTTGACTTCCTCAATTTACATACTTTGCTTATGACATGAATAAAATCGATTGATACAGCAAATTCTAGTTAGTTGAAAAAGCAGATTTTAAAAAAAGTCATAGTATGTTAAAGTGAAAAACTGCAATTTGGACAGAACTTTTGGAACAACCTAGTACACTGTTACATTTGCTACGAAACAGGTTGTGCACGTGAGTACGCCATTGATTTCCCTTTTCACAGGCGAATTGCAAAAAAACTTATGCCTAAACAGCAACATTTGTTCTTCTCTCGTTTTTTTTTTGTTGAATTTGACGCTAAGGAAGCATGACTTCACTAAAAGAATCGTGGCAGTTAGGGAAATTGAAGCAATTTGCAAAGTTTAGAAAGCCTGCTAGTCCTTACTCGTGTATGTCAGAAGGAAATAGTGTGTTTAATCTGAGAATTGCCAACTTGGTGTTAATATCTACACTTTATTTCCTATGTGAAAGCATTAATGTTATCTTTGTGAACTGCAAGTAGGCCTCAGAATACACTGCAACGCAAATGACGTTATATCAAGCAATTTGATTCTTTTGTGAGAATTCAGAACTATAGGTAGTGATTGCTACAATATGAATTTGTTACAAAAGGATGCATCTCAGCTGATTCGTAGTCTATTATCCTTTGACGAGCCTTCTTTATTTATAGAGAAAAATAGCAGCAATAAGAATCTAAAGATCCACATGCGAACACCCTTTTAATGCCTCAATATAGTTGCGCGTGACTCACAATCATGGTGTGGTGCCAATAACAACAAAAGTTGAGTAGTTCACTCAACGAGAAATCGTGAGAGCGATCCACATCAAGAAATTACCAAATATTCCATTCGCGTATGTGATGTACTAAAACAACCTCATGGTTTTGCAGATCAATGTATTTCTATGGAAAAATCTATCGTGCTGGTTCATGCCATCTATCTCAAAATTCTTGCGAAATATTAGTGAAGCTTCTTCTGAAAGAAATAAAATGCATAACAAATTTTGAAACTTCCTATTTATGCAGTTAGCGCCAGATCACCTGCTAATGCTCTCCCATAAAGCAGCTGCTAAATCGCTGATCCATCATGAAATTGACAACGATTTTATTGTCTCATTTGAAACCGATCGCAACCGCAATGGGTAGGGAAAAAACTAGAAGAAACACAATGATCACTGCTAAAGAACTAATAACAAAGATTTTAATGATTAAAAACATTAAGATTAACATTAAGATTAAAAACACGAGTGAAGGGAAAAGTGTGAAGATCTCAGTTTAGCTTGATCAACCATAATCAAATTGGGAAGTGTTTGAGTACCAGACTAATTGTGTAAATGTGTAAAATAATATATCCTATAAAGTTAGATCTTTATCTGTGATCTTAGCGGTGATAATTTGCCGATAGATCATCGATTCTGCCAGACACCAACCGCATGGCTTTGTTTCTTATTCAGCTTTTACTTGTGCAAATAAAATTCTTTTTTTTCGCCTTGATTTGCACCTTTTCTATCTCATCATAATGCTTAAACTGATCTTCTTTTGAATTCTTAGTGTTATCTATGTACCAGTGGCGTACCCAGGATTTCGGCTCGGGGGCGGGGGAGGGGAGGGGGCGACAAAAAAAATTTTTTAATGAAGGTGCGTGGCTGACGCCACGCCCCCGAAAAAAATTTTTTTATAAGGCTAAAATGAATTTTTAAAAATTTTTAAAAATTATTTTAATTATTTGCAAGTGCAAATAAGTCATTTGCACAATTTTATAACCCATATAAGTAACTTTCAAAGATTTCGCGACCCGTTCTCGGGGGGGGGGGGGGCGCCCCTCGGAGAATTTGTAGCAGTACTCTCAACTTTCGAGATCTCCGAATATGGAAGTACAATGACCTACGATAAATACTGCAGAGCAGGTTCGATTGCTGAGCATGGTACTATCAATACCTTTCTAACATGTACCGCTTCCGAGTATTTCATGATAGCAGTATAAAATGCTTCCTAAAATCGAATTACTTTTCATATTACTTCGTATCAAAATCATTCGAAAGAGTGATAAATCACTCGCTTTCGAATGCATTTTTGTAAAGCTTCTGCTATGCACTAACTGCAGAGATGAAAATAGAAACAGAAGGCCATATGAACTTTGCTCATTTTAACTTAGGTCGTCAAAACACTGGAAAGCTGTAGAAAATTCTGAAATCGTCAACACAAGTTTTTTGACCTACTCTTTCCACTGTGAGAGATTTGTCTTGTTCGGAGAGTCTCTGTGAGAAGTTACGAGTTACCAGTTTGCTACAGAAAACGCCAAAATCAATTAATTTGACACTTTTCTCGAAAATCATAGGTTCTTAAAGAGACGTCCAAACAAGACAAACTTTTCACAGTTGCAAAGGGTAGGTTGAAAAATCTATGTATTGACGATTTCAGAATTTTCTGCAGCGTTTTCGATTTTTGACGACCTAAGTTAACACATTAACGACCGCTTGACACACAGGTATGTCAAGGCTTGACACACCTTGTGTGTCGTTTAAATGGCTACTATTTTGTGTTAAACCCGAGTTTTCTTCTGTGCTGGATCTAGACACAACCTCTACTGTTTTTGCCAGCATTCCAGTGTTACTGTAGATGTACTGTAGATTTAATTGCGTGGGTTTTATCTAAAAAATGTTGACTGGTCCGTGAAACGCCTTGGTCGTCAATGTGTTAAAATGACCAGAGCTTATATTGTCTTATTTTTCTATTTTTATCTTTGCAGTCAGTGTATAGCAAAAGCTCAGCAAAACAGCATTCGAAAGCGGAAGGCTTACTCTCTCTAACAAAGATATAATGAAGTAAATCTGTTGAGATAGCGCAAAGTTATGATTTTTCAAACATGAAACGACAGAACTTTCGGGATGACCTAATAATTTAATTTCATCTTTGTGTTAGAATCTGAAATTTTCTTGCCCGCTTTAACGGTGCCAGCCACGCTTCCGATGATTGTATTCCATTGGCACTTTGATTTGACCATGGTGTAACTTCTTTCAATTTCTACGGCTCGCCGTCATTTACACCGCAACAACATTTCGAGCACATCGACGTTTCATCATTTTCCTGTTTTTTTGTTGTCCAAGAATCAGGAATCTAAACATTTCCCTCTTGCATGCGTTTACACTCACTATATGAGACATATCAGGCTTAAAATGAATTTCTTCGCGCTATCACTTTCGATTTGAATCTTTTTAATCAGCACCATCAGTGCATGTTTTCATCTTCGCACCAAAGTTATAACCAGGGCTGAGCATGGGGTCAGGCGCGCCCGACCTGAGGGGTCGTATTGGGTGTAAGAGCAAGGTAGGGGTCGTAATCAAGAATTGTTTTAAAAAAATGATTAAATACTACGATCAAGTAAATGCTCTCAACCATGATTTTCACAACTCTACCAGAGGAATGACTTTCGTGAACAGCATGCTGATCAACTCGGCTAACGAATTCTCAGCCAAATTCCAAGTTTTCTACCTTACAATGATTTCCACAATCAGCATGCCAGATCACCTCAACGAGCTCTAAAAATCAGTACCTACTACATTTTCTAGTGTTTTTTTAACGTTCAAAAAGCGGATTTTCAAACATGATTAAGATGTTCACAAAAGTGAAAGAACACAGCTTCTTTTGTATTCATAACGAAGTGTTGCTCTTTAACGGTATAGGGACAAAGGACTTCATATCGCTTTGAAATAATGGATTGAGAAGCGCTGAAAAAATATTAGTCATCGCGTTTTCATCTTGAGTGGTTTAATCCCACCGATCACCACAAGGCTGAAACAAGTCGAACCATGCTCATACACTTACTGTAGAATCTTCGAGGTTTATGCTAGTGAATCATATAAAACTAAGGTGGAAAAGCATGTTGATAGAGTTAATCGGGTCAGGCGCAGCTCATAAAGGTCAGCCTGCCTGAGCTTTTGAGGGGTTGCGCCTGACCCCCTTAACTTGCCTTCAAAATCCAGAAATTGCTCAGTCCCTATATGAGTATTGAGCTCATAGCTTCTTCTTCCTGGTGGAAATTTGGAGCCGACGCCCCACCCCTAGAAAGATTCTAGCTCTTTCAATAGGCCAATTCGGATCAAAATCAGCCGTCATGCGTGTGATTGTAGTCACATGCAATTAGACGGCTACAATTAAATGTAGTCAAAGAAAATCGAGCGTACGTTTTCAAAAATCTGAAAATTTTCTAGAAAAGGATGATGTCCTCCAATGTCACACTCTGAAGTCCTCCGAGGTCAAGAGGAGGAAGAAGAGGTCGTTTGAGGGCTTTCATGGGAGGGGGTCGTTCTCGAAAAACTTGTGCCCGGCCTCCTGCTCAACTCTGGTTATAACCTTGCAATTAGAATGACGGTTTCTACAGTCGAATCATTTCATTTGATCATGTATGTCACTGCACACATAGCCCACCTTTGGCGTTCCCATCCTGGATTCTTGGAGGGAACAACCCTTCAGGTAAATGTTTTCAATGTGTTCTTAATATTCCCTTTCCTTTCGAGTACTAATCACTTTAAATTGATGTAGTCGATAACAATCGATAAGTCTCTTGCGTCTCTGCTATTGCAAATCCAGGATGAGGACGCCAAAGGTGGACCGTATGTGCAATGACACACATGATCATACGAAATGATTGACTGTACTGCTATCTTGTAAGTTTTGTGTAATTTTTTATCATTCAAGGAATCAATCTTCCTACATGCTAGCAAGAGAGCCCTTGCCACAGCGAACAGGTCTCTAAATTGCACGTTTTAGGAAAATTCTACGAGTTGCAGAATGTACCAGGTTTTTACAAACTTTGTCTATCAGTTTAAACAACTGCATGAAGGATGTTCAAGTATCCTACGTGTAGGCTTTACTCTGTTGACAATGTCTATTAGTCAAAAATAATCAATTTTTAACTTCTGGGTTGCTAAATAAACGCAATGGAGGGAGGCTTCCTTTGTTTCAAGGCCTTTCCGTCTAGACCATACATTGATGAAACGAGACGAAAGATAGCGCAGAACGACCAATATTATATAGAGGAAATGTTTCGGTACGCTAAAGATAATGCAAAGAAAACGAATAGTGGGAATGCCAAAAACACGCATTATTTAACATTGTCCTAATAGAAGGGTTTGAAAACCACAAGATGGCGAACGTTAGTAGTTATTTCAGATAAAGTCAAAGTATTGTCATTATACATTATTATATATCATATTATTATATGTCTTATTCTGATTCCTAGCTGGATGTACTACGGGAGACAGGGGATAATCAGGGTGAAATCTGCAACAAATGTCAAGAGAGGAAGAGTTGACTCAAAGAAGGTTCTCACCAACACGCGTAACTGTGGCATACCTAGGATTTCAGCTGGGGGGAGGGGGCAGGACAAAAAAATTTTTCCGATAAAAATGCGTAGCGTCAGCCACGCACTCCGAAAATTTTTTTGCTATGCTCTCAAAATTTTCGCGGGCTCAGAACTCGGAAATTCCATGAAAAGGAGGCGTGGCGTCAGCCATGCCCCCCAAAAAATTTCTTTTGTAAGGCTAAAATGAATTTTTAAAAAATTTTGAAAATTATTTCAAGTACAAGTGCAGACAAGTCATTTGCACAACTTTATAACCTATGTAAGTAACTTTCGAAAATTTCACGACCCGTGCACTGGGGGGGGGGCCCTCCCCCTGCCCCCCCCCCGCTCCTTCTTCCTCAGTACGCCACTGACGCGTAAAGATATGATTTGTAGGTATCTGCCAGGCCAGCCTAACCATTCTTCGAATACTTTTCTCGCTGCAAGTATAATCTTCCAGAATGCTCTTTACCTCACAAATAGATTGATATGTTTGTGCGTGAAACTTATGGTTATGTAAAGAGGTATCCCAAAACATTGTTGATGGAATGTTACAAAGATAGTGCCGGCTCAGTCTGAAAGTCGTAGGAGTTTGTACGGCAAAAGAGGGAGGGCCATAAGCTCGTATAATATAACAAAATTATTGTACCCCTTTTTTGCTGCGAAATAAGTAATCGTTTTATACTAGTTTCCATCGAATACTTATTTGCAACTAGTCCTTCGTGAATCTATTAATGCATTTTTGCGCAAGATCTTTCAGCCTTCTACCGGCTTTCACAAATCTGAACTCAGATAAAAAGAAGCAAATCATTTGAGATTTCACAAGTGGAGACAAAAGAGACTTGTTTAGAGAAACGGTGAAGTAATTGCACAGTAATGAGTGATGTTATCTAAATCTAAATGAATTAGTAGCGGAGAAACAGTGCTCTTGGGATTGGATATTTCTTCAGATTGTTTCAGCGTATACTTATTAGTGTTTGTCTGAAGATGATCCAAAGCTTATTTTCAAATGTAGTGTGACTGTTTACTTTCCAGGCCTGCTTACCGGAGATTTAAACACATACTTCAGATGCTTCTGTGGTTTTCTATAATTTCTTTCACCTCACAATTAGCATGGAGCTACAAAATGGCGTTCTTTGTTTTGGACATATCTAACAGTCAGGTAGTTTTTTACCTTACTTAGATCTTTGAGCAGGAAGTTCCAGGAACACGTTAGTGATAGATAAGGATAAAGCTTCACTGCGAATGAGGATGAATTTGGTTTAGAAAGTACGACCTGATAACATATACGTATGGTTTCCTCTTACATTAAGATCAGTAGTCATCATCTCAGCGCTTCATCCTATTGCGACAATGGTTTCCAGAATATTCGATCAAATTCGAGCACAAATTTTCATTCAAGCAGCTCCGGAAGAAAAATTTTTCTGAGTGGTAAATAGTAGTAACGAAAGAGCTCTTATTGTTAGGATTATCTTTTAAAATGTGTAGAGGTGCGTTTTAAGCAATGACAGTGCAGCAACAAACGATAGATGGAGAAAATGCAACGACAGAAGAAAAAACCAAAAAAAGGAAACAAGGAAAGATGAAAAGAATAGAATAAAAGAAGCGCGGTAGACGAAGCTTGTTAGACTTGTCTATTAATACATGTCTCAAGCTAAAAAATGCGTATGCGAATAAAATAAAAATCACGTGGAAAAATCATCTTTTGCTTCTTTTTGTTGCAATAGATTCGCACTGTGCCACTTAAGCAAAAATTCTGCCTCGACATCAAAGCCATTTCTGAATCCAAAAAAACGACAAAGGATGCTTGTATAGTCGAAGTGGCTATATAAGATGAGATTTATGTTGCTATACTCATAATGAATGCTGATTTCAAACTGCAATCCTTATCTACGAAAGGCTATTTTATTAGGTTAACGGATAATTTCTATTACACTTTTTTTGAAATTTTAGAAAATTCCGGGTGCTTTATAAAAGGCACGACAGGGCTATAGGGCGTGTATACAATAATATAACGGATGCCACGGATGCAAAAGCAGTCAGCAAGTTTACGACAGTTTTGTGAGCACTCAAAACATTCTTCTTTTCATTTTTCTTCTCTTTTTTTCTCTCTGCGTCTAATTGTGTTTTCTCTATCCTATGAATTCTTTGAAACATAGTTTTGCGAAGTCTCATTTATGGCAGCACTGTTGAGCTAGCATGTGAAAAACGAGGGGTAGAAAATAAATTCAAAAAATTAAGAAATTCATGGATAATTTTTCTTTTTGTGCTGGTCTCTCCCTGGGGCGCTATGTATCAATCTCAGGGTCGTGTGCTGGTTCAAGATCTGGCAATTACACGATCTTGAACCAGCACACGATCTGCCGAGGCGCCCGCGATGTATCAATGTGTGCACAACATCGTGTAATTACACGATGTGCGGTGTTCGTGTGCGCCAGGCGCCCAGAACTGGCGCATATCCTAAACGGCTGTTGACCCCGAATGTGATTGCCGTTCGCACATTTCATTGCATTTTTTCTCGTGTTATGGCTCCTTTCCTGCTATTTTCTCTTCTTCGCAGTACTCACATGTCTCGACTCGCATCTTCTCCTTAATTTGAGCTTGGTATGTAAATTATGCACGGAAGATGCAACTTTAGTACTCTTTCACAAAGTTTTGAGTAGGCGTCAAATAGCACATCATCGTGAATTCTATGGGTGCATATGTGACTGCTAAATTTCAGCTGTGAATGGTAATCTTCAATAGTTAATTTCTTCAGCGTATCAGAATTTTTCGTGCACTTTGTCGTCATTGATTTGACCCGTGAGATTTTGCCGAAAAGCGCTCAAAGCGCCGCAGAAAGACCAAAAGCGCGAAAACGTCCCCCCCCCTTTCCTGTGCGCAACTTTCTGTCATGCACCATTGACGTCCACACGTCGTTCATACCAACTCTATCAGCTCAAAATAGAAGCAAGTGTTCCAAAATCCGTGACATTTGTGTAATGACACATATTATTATATGAAATAGCTGGACCGAGCAACTTTTGTAATTGAAGACGTGTTTTAAGCCATTATTCTAGAAGTAATTTCGCGAAAATGGGGCGCTATGGCGCTGTGAGGCGCATTTGAGCGGGTGGAGGACTATAGGTCGCCTAAGTTCCCCCCGCGGAATAACACGAGCTACGGAAAAAGTGCGCAATTCTTACAAATGTCCGCGCACCTTCCTTTTCGGCGACCCTACCCTGTACCCATTTGAGTTCCTTTTCGCCGGGAACGCTTTTGGGCTCTTTCTGCGGAAGCAAAAGTCAAAGAGGAAATAGAATGCGACAATAATAACTGGGAAAATCAAATACTTACAAGAAACTTTCACTTAAATGCCCTCTTCGAAGTTTCAGAAGTAGGAAACTCATTCTTGTTCTAAAGTGTCGACTCGAAATTTTGGAGTTCCTGCGTTAGTAAAACTAGGGTATGCCATTCACCAAAATGGGTCACTAACTGGTTTTGAAGTGCTCTGTTCATCAGACACCTTTCAAACAGGGATAAGCTGCTGCATAACGAAGGCGCAATATCCTTGGGCGCGAACGCGGCTTTATTAGCCGCAAGCGCAGGATTTACAACGGTGAAGATGCGCGCGCCGCGTTCGCTCGACTAATGATGTTTCTGCGCCTTCGTCGTGCATTAACCTTTCTAACCTGTGAAGCTCACCACGCCTGCAAAATCAGAAAGTTCAGTACTGATGAAATTAGAAATCTTACAACGGTTTCAAGTATAGTCGTTTCAAAATGCTACTACCGGTGTTACCGATGTGATTGTTACCAAAGTTACCGTTATTACTGCTGCTCTCTGAATGATATAATCAGTTTTGCAGTCTCATTCGTACCCGATCCCACTGTATTATTATCACGCTGGTCCTACTACAATCGTTGCACTAAAAAGCTAGCCATGGACGGGTGGCTAGGAAAAATTAAGACTGCAACAATGATCACTTCATTTGAGCTGATAGACTCCTAATCAGCGGTAGCAACTTAGGTTAGTAACACGGTAACCCTAGTAATGTGTAGCCAAACCCTAAACTTAAGAAAAATGTCATGGCCCATAACTCCGTAGCAAAAACTCATTCGACATAGTTCAATAGATGTGACTTCCATACTTAAACATTCGCAACATCTGACATTACATAATGCAAATGCCTCGCAAGGTGAATAACAGAGAAATAAGAGGTATTGAGTGGTTGCTTATCACTTTACAAAAGAAATTAAGAGATAACCAGATTATGAGCAAGAAATGTCTACAAGGACGGTGTCAGAGTCTTGAGTTTTTTTAGAAGTCGAAGAAGTTGTTAAGGTACCATCTGAATTATACTAGACAAAAAGGATGCAAACATTTCACATCTCAGAACTCACTGATGGGTGAATTGCTTGAGGATCAATATTACAAGCGCTAAACACTGCGAAGGCACAGCAGGAAGTGATCTCGACGCAACTGCATAGTTGTCCATTCGATGTTTTCCAGTTGCTGCAGAGGCGTACGTGATCCCATCTATAATAAGCAAAAAACTGTACTACACTTCCCAAGCTCTTTTATTCGTGATTAAGAAGTTGACCAACAATGTCAACAATCTTAGTCACCTACACTATTTCCAGTAAAAGCTCGTCAGAATCTCTAAGGGCTTCTGATCACCAAATTTGTTTCTTCCATTGTTAAAAACCCTAGAGTCAAAAATCTGATATAACCTAGCGCTTGGAACTTGCAAAATGGCCACTGTAAAGAAGCACATGCTTGTGCGATCTGTTGTACTTATGCTAACGTGGCGCTAAAGTTTGCTTTTTAATAATTTTTGTGACGTACGAACGAAGAACCAGATATATCATTTGTGACTTAATATAGGGCCCTGCATGATCGCGAGAGTCGGTGAGTTTGCGGCCATTGCGCACACAGGAGATGCCAGAAGGCCCCACACCGAACAACCGCGTAACTTCCAGCATCGCTACAAGTGATTGAAAGCTAACATTTGATAGCAGAAAAGCGTTTGAAAGGAAAACGGAAACCGAGAAAGTTTAATGCGCGAGCAATGACCGCAACCTCATCGACTCTCACGATCATGCCCTATATGTGAGTCCGCATACTATGCGCGATAACCGACGGGACTCTTATTAGTAACTCCTCAGTGAAACCCTTTTTAGCGTTACAAACTATAGAGATGAGTACTTCCAACTAATACACACAAAAACAAGGAGAAACTACTGGAAACGGGTTCTAATTTTGCAAGTTCGTCGAGTAGCGCGCATGGTATGCAATACGCATACTGAGTTACAGTTGACTCCACGGCTAGCGGCAAATATCTCAGAAAAATCAATAACATAGCAGATACAGTCGAGCAGATATGCCGCTTAATATAGCGTCTTGCAGTGAAGGTGAAATGCGATAAAATTTGTTCGTGAAGTAATAGCTACGCCTTTGATACCTTCCAATTGCGCGCGCAGAATGCCGGCATTACTGGCGTGGCTAATTCCCTTTACGCGCCAATTTTACCGCATTTCACCTTTAGAGCAAGCACACTATATTAAGCGGAAAATCTACTCGACTGTACTAGGATAGCAGAAAACGAAAGGAAAGAGACATACCTTGAGAAAAAGGTAGCACTTCTCCTGTTTTCCTCAAATTGTGCAGTGTGTGATCCTACTGTATGCTTTCAGCAAGTAACAAAAGCATGAGGAGAAAGGCACACAGCATAAGCTAGGGGATGGCCGAAGAAGCTGATAGGATCATAGTAATTGCCACCAACTTACCCTGCAAACAGGAAAGAGAACAGAGTTGTACTAAATGAAAACACAATGCCCTATACGTTAGAGATTATAGAATGCTAGGAACCAAAAAAAGATTTGTCCACTGAAAAAGCAACTGACTGAAAAAGCATAAACAAACTGTACCTGCAGTGTAATCGATAATTGAATTCATAATAGAATTCTCAAACAGCAATGCACATAGCCGTTAACAGAACAGAATGCAGCAATTGCAAGCTCATCTATCGAGGTGTAGACTAAATTGGCCGAATTCAGATGCGATGGGTGGGTATCTAAACACCCAATGTAGAAGATGAACCTGCTGATAAAGGATCAAAAAGATCGTACACCACGAACTTGTTGATAGTGAACAAGAGTAAGGCCAAGATTTGGATCCGGAATACTCTGACATTCAGAAATAGATAGAGGTAGATAGATATGACGGAAAACGGGAGACCCCGCACAGCCCATGCTAAACGAGCACGAGGATGTGATAAAAATAGACTAAACGGACACGCGAAGATTTTGTCACTATTAATATGAACATTGCGTATGCGTACATCTTCCAGAGTTTCAGCTTAGCATCTCCTATGAAGCAGCATACTATACATCATTTACGAAGCCCCAGATATTTTCTACATGAGAAAACTTTACCCATCAGAGGCTTCCACAAAGTAAGAACATGTTTTTGCACGATAGACTGAAGATGAGACTCACGGCTAAATCCTAGTATTAAACGAATTTGGAAACCACCAGAATCGCAGAAAGTACTGGAATATGGCCGTTCTTTTTGTGAAAATAGACGTGCGAAAACAGTGGCCGTAATTGAAGACAGCGGATTTTCACACGTCATATGGACAGCACACGATCTCGACAGATCGTGCGCTGCTACACGATCTTGTGGCAAGATCGTGTGCTTGATGCATCGCGAGATCGTGTGCTCGCACCCGATCATGGGCATGTTTGCAACGTCAGCGAGCACACGATCTCACGATCGTGCGATTGATACATAGCGCCCCTGATCACCTGAAAGAATGCCAAGCCAACGGCAAAAATTCCTTAAAATGTACTCTCACTGATAAGGTGGGTGGTTTGCGCATGGACCTCGAATTTGACAGTACCGGTAGGCCTTCACCCGTCATCACTCCTTGGACGTAAGAATTTTTAAAAATCTTTCAGATTTTTAAGAAATTCTCCAACCAATAGAAACTAAAAGTCTAACCATGTTAACATATCACTTGGTACAAAAGCACTGCAGTGCGTGCTACCAGGATAGACCGGTGCAGCTTGAGTGTGGCCGTTTGTTGCACAGAGAGTGGCATGTTCGACCCTTTTACAAACAACGCTTTTGCATCTTTGTTTGCGACACCACAGCCTTCTTCGGAGCGTTTTGCAGAAAAGGATTTCAGTTTCGAAATCAGCATTCATTGCTGACTTCAGCAACTTATACCTGGTCTGAAACAGCCACTTCTACCTCAAAGGCAGCGTCCAGGCAGATCTGGACCTATGGGGATTTTACGTGGAACATACTTTTGGGGCCCTAACTAAGGCGCTGCTCAAGCGGCAGCGCAGGTAGTGCTCTAACGGCTGAGCTATTCCCCTCGAAACTAGACCCCGCGATCGTATTCGCATGGATTCATGGCGTTTCGCGCTAGGACCCACGCTTTGCGCCATGAATCCATGTGAAATACGATCGCGGGGTCCAGTTTCGAGGGAATATCTCAGCCGTTAGAGCACTAACTGAGCTGCCGGTTGGGCAGCGGCTTAGTTAGAGCCCCAAAATTACTATTCACGTGAGATCCCCATGTGTCCAGATTTGCCTGGACGCTGCCTTTAAAAGCATTTCGCAAAATTCTACAAAGTCACCTTTGACCTGTCCACAGCCTTGGAAACCCTGACTTGCAGGTACCTAACTTTGAACTTCAGAAAGAAATATGAGTAAAGGCTGATGCCCTCGGGAGCGGTACTACCAGTAATTTAGGAAAAATCTGGGTTTGGCCTTCACACACATACGTTTCCATGAAATTCTCACCCATAAGTTGAACTCGCTCACGCGCATGCTCACGCCAATTTCATCATTGCGTTGTAACTGTAACCAAGGCATTTGTTTGATTGGGTACACTTTTGAAATCCCGCACTATGTCAGAACATGTTATAGCATGGAAGCGTCTTGATCCATTCAGATGGGTAAGGATGGCTGTCCAAAGTAGTCGGTTCTGATGCGTTTCTCTGCGCTTTTTTCGAGGGCTCCTCCTCAAACGCAGCGAATATAACCTTTTGCTTTTTTGCCATATCCGGCTCAATCCGATTCATTGTGCCGGTCCCGCTATTCTCAAATGCCTTCTTGAGCGCTGTGATTGTATCAGCAGACGTGAAATTGCAGTGAAACAAAGCCTCACTATTTTTAATCAATGAGATTGCGCGTGGGTAGTAGATTACGCTTTACGAGATGATTAACAGTTGACTTTCTCTCTTTTCGAGCTCTTATTCAACGAACGATTAGCCGAACCACTAGAAGCTGCTGGACATGACGTAACCCTCATCTTGATGGCACCGCAGTCTGATCGTGATCGTAGCGACGTACAAATCAAAGGCAACATCAAAGGTGAGGTACTGAAAACAGTTGTTTTTTGTGTAGAAGTAAGCTCTCGCAATTGAGAGGTTGCTGGGCATATGCAAAGCTCATAATAGATACGTTGGTAGCCGTGACTGATTGGGTAGAAGAGCTGCAAAATTTTAATTTTGCAACTATCGCTCTTCATGTTTATACATCGATGACGGTACGGATAAGGCAAGATGTTAAACTTGGAGAAGATGCGAACACAACTTAGGAGGTTAATGTTCGTTGCTAGCCCTATGAAGACTGCAGAAAGTCAATCATTTTATCTCTCTGCACGTCGTTATTTACTTGTTTCCCTAAAGCAGTTTTTTGCCAAACTCAAAGGTACAACTTGAACTGACTTAATGTTAGCATTGAATGCTTTGTAATGACTATTACCCTAATTTCACGCGTACACGGCGCACCTTTTTCGATTTTTCGACTAAGCCTCTCAGCCGCTTTAACCCTTTCGGACCTGGTGGTGGCAATTGCCACCATCAATTCAGAGATCTACTGTACTGCCGCAAGAACATCATTTCACTACTCATTGCTCTCAAACGCTTCATATAGCCTTTGCCTTCCAAATGTAGCTTCGAGACCGGGTGTTCATTTGCTTCTCTGTCAATAGTATGTACATTTCTGAAAACAAGTGGAATTCAACCAATCAATAATTTGCGCCGGCTTGAGCACCGTTTCAGTATCTTGTTTATTAGCCAAAAAATATTCATAATATTATCATAATGTTTTAGTACGATGCTGAGCAAATGTAACCGTTAACTGTTTGCGGGTCCACATGTATCGCGGGAGATTTGGAAATCCAAAATAAACGCAAAACCAAAAAATTAAAAAATCAAAAAGAAATAGTTCGTAAGGTTAAGCAGACTCCAAACTCCGCTATAATGTTAATCATATGGTAATAAGTAAAAAACAATAGGAGAGAGGCTTCTCGGCTCACTCGCAAAAACTCAGGTCCGAAAGGGTTAAATTATTTCGGAAAGCGATCCTTATGCGGTACGATTCTCTCAAGCAACATGCAGCAAGGCATAAGGTCCTTTGGTTGCGAAGTTCTTTGGCGTATTTGGGCTGGTCGATTTTGGAAAAAAATCCCTCCCCCGCGCCTTGTACACGTGAAATTAGGGTAATATGTTTGCAACAATTTTAACACGTTTCGGACCGGTGCTGCACATGGTGCAGCACGCTCCTTTGAGAGATCTTTCTAACGTTTACAGAAGGTTTTCTTTTTGACCAAGGTTATCAAGTCAAAGACCTAAGCTCCTTCTCCTCAAATGACTCTGTAAGGATGTGTCGCCGATATTTGTTTAGAAGATATGAGCACAAATCGAGCAACAGTTGCAACGAAGTGCGGCAACGCGAACGACGCATGCGACGTCGCAACTTTCCTTTGCTTCGAATTCAAGGAGAAAAACCGTAGTTTCGATAGTGATGTGTATGATGTATAACATAGATACTTTTGGGTACAATTAGAAACTGAGTTCTTGTTCTTATCTTCCAAAAAAGCATAGTAGTCCTTCTCAGGCGACAAAATTTAAACACTTCGAATTCGCTCACAACTTTGAGTATGGATCTTATCTGACATGCTGATTATAGATGTAGTACGCAGTCTACGAATTAAGGCCCCTATGTTGGCTAAAGGCTGAAAGTGCCCTCTTTTTCGCCGCGCGAGATTTCGCGGTCCGAAACGTGTTAAGCAAACCTGGAGTGCTGCGGATTTGAGCGTGTGATCTGGTCAATAATTTTCTTTTTTTGTTGGGGAGGGGGGGGGGGGAGTGGGGGAGATAGCGAGTGCGCAAGAAACGCAAAACAGTGTAGTTTTGAACATAATATTTGTTGAGTGGGGTTGTGATCAAAGCTGAAAATTGGAAGAATTGAAAAGTTTTGAATCAAAATCGGAGTTAAAATTTTTCGAACGTTTTGGAACAAACTTTAAGCACGAACGATATACGCACAATGTGCCAATCATGCTTGGGCTTTCAATGTCGGATTATCCTTAGCACTTCCAGTTCATGTTGTGAACGCTAGTACAGGCCTCTCTCAGAAGGATATGGATGACAAAGACGAAACATTTGTTTACCAGGTGCTATATGATGCAGCATATATCGCTAGCCAAAAGTTATGTTCTAGGATATGCCTGGCCACAAAATGTTAGAACGGTTGAAAAAGCAGACAAAGCTGCTCACCGACACTTGTCAAGGTGAGTTTCTGTTTATCCCGATGACAGTGACGAAATATAGTTTGCAGCAACCTTAAAGCAGAAGGAGTTTATTGAATGGTTGAAAGCAGAAAAATTCGACTTGGCTTTTGCGCCAATGTTTGATGTCTGCTCTGTTGGACTTATTCATGAAGCTAATATCCCTGGATGGATTTGGTTGAATAGGTGTGTCGGGAAGATATTTTTCGGCTTACAGTCTTCATTTTCCATGATGTAGTCTCCTCAGATTTTTAGTGGAACCATCATGGATTACATCGCTAATCTCATTGGAGTCCCCACGATACCAAGTTATGTCCCACGTAAGATTTTAAGCCTGATTTCGTATGCTTTATCAATAACAAATTAAAGTAGTGAGTGGGCTGCTTCATATAAGAAAAGCTATTTTATCTGACGAAATTCCATTGCTCTCAACAAAGTTATAGCTTTTCAGCGATGATGATGGAAGCTGGCGCCGAAATGAGTTTTGTGCAGAGAATCAAGAGTGTGGTTGGACATGGTCTAACATCTTTTATTTGGAAAAAGTATGCTACAATTCTAAAGTAATTTAAACAGAAAGATGAGCATCCTTTTTTTTGAAGCAGGTTGTCTTCAGATTGTTAACTGCGTTTGCGAGATTCAAGTTACGATAGTGACTTGTTCATACTTGAAACAATTAAAATGATTTTTTAAATCTTTCAAAAATTCAAGCTGGCCATGAAAAAAAATTTCGGTATGGACCCGCAAAAATTTGGAGAAGCACCCCAAAAGCTTTTACACAGTGCGTGACTAGCGCCACGTACCTTCATTTGAAAAAAGCTTTCCTCCCCCCCCCCCCCCCCCCCCCAAGACGGAAATCCTGCGGCGCCGCTGCCTGACAGTTTTTGCTTAGTCCAGCTGCACAACACTGATGTATACATCAGATTACCGGATTTGTAGTTTTTAAGACACCTTTTCTTGAAAATGACTGCTTGAGATCTATCTATGCTGTTCGCTAATTTAACAAGTGGTTATTCAACATAGCTCATTTAGGTTTGTCGCCGAACCCGAAAATCAACTCTTTCGGGAGCTTTCGCCTGAATTTCCAGATCTTCTGGAACTGGCAAGAAAGTGTCCTCTGGTAACCATCATTTGTTAGCAGTGGTGAAGAGATAATGCGTACTTAGCTTCCAGATCATGGCCAACACAAACGACCTTTACGAACTACCGCGACCAACGCTTGCAAAAGTTGTGAATATCGGTGGCGTAGGAATGGACACCGAAACGAAGTCAAAGAGTGAACCTCTTCCAAAGGTGGACCATGCGCCACATATTGGCACCATCCCAATAATTTGCATTTATTTAGCATATACTTGATATTTTGAATGACAGCGAAGGCGCAGTTCTTTTTTCATTTGGTTCCGTCGCTCCGATGTGGAAAATGCCACTCAGCTGGAAGAAAATGTTCCTGGCGGCTTTCAAACGATTTCCACAGTATCACTTCCTGTTAAGATATGAAAAAGATGACATTAATGGTAAGAGATCAACTCTTCACAGAAGGTCAACAGATCCTGAGTTCCAGATATTCTACCTTCCAATGTTCACCTATTCAAATGGATGCCTCAGTCTGAACTTTTGCGGCATCCAAAGACGAAAGCGTTTATCACCCATGGGGGCTACAACAGCTTCCAGGTAGCTGTCTTTTTTATCGATAAAAAGCACTAAGCTGACTTTAGGAAGCAGTTCTTGCCGGCGTTCCGTGTATAACCATCCCTTTATTTGGCGATCAGTCGAAGAACGCGCTCCTGGCCGAACACCATGGTTTTAGCCTCGTCTTGCGCAAGGGAGAACTTTGCGAAGAGGTGATTTTCAACGCGCTCAAGGAAGTAACCAACAATCCAAGGCAAACGTACATTAAAGTTCTTGGAAGGGCATATCTGTCATTAAATACACTTATTTTAGTTATAAAAAAGCCGCTATTAGGCTATCGAATATGGTAAAACATCAACCAGTGAAGCCGACAGAGCTGCTGGTACGGTGGTCCGAGTTTGTTGCCGAGTTCCACACTCTAGAGAATCTTCATCCAGCCGGCACTAAGCTCAACTTCATACAGTACCACTCTTTTGATGTTATTGGCTTTTTACTAGCTATAGTGCTATCGACTCTCGTAATTCTGGTAAAGATTTTCTTGGTTGTACTCAAAAGGTTACGCACGATATCGTCTCAGCCTCAAAAGAAGAAAATTGCGTGAACCTCCACCCTGTTTGATTAAGATAATAGCATTTTATCTGATGATTAGCCAGAACACTCTTATTGTTCCTCATAAATTTTCTGTTCATCGTGTTTTTATGAAAGTTCATTACAACCCCATACGGGATTATAACAATTTAGCACCTATCGTATATGCCTTAGAGGAGTATTCTGCCGAAACGTCTGCTTTCTTGGAGTATGATTCTTTCTATTTTGAAATCATATAGTTTTTACAATATAATGATGTATTTGTGCACTAACAGAGAGCTCTCAAGAGCTGTTTCCAAAGTTGTAAAAGTTTTGTTTAATTTTGATTTCCTTTTCAGTCTTTGTCGTACTGTTAGGCCCGCATAGCGCCAATTTTCCATACATTTCGAAAGAGCTCTTTGAGTACTGTTGACCGATAACGTAAACTCCTCGCCCTTGTGGTTTTTGGAAACCGAATAATTTTGAAGTTGGAAATCAAGCTTTCATCGGACTCAGGTTTGATCCCGGACCTGGGCTAACCAAGCTCTCTACGCTCCGAGGCAAATTGTTACCAGAGTAATCTGGGAGGATAAAAGCTCAGCTCTCGGTAATCGGTTGGCCCTCGCAAGTCATTGTAAAAGGCCCGCACGCATTCAGTAGCCTCCTCGAGTATGAAGTTGAGTGCCTTCGGCGCATGCCCTAGAGGATATTGAAGACGCCGAGTCCTTTATCCTTCAGCCTTTTTGTTTAAACGGTCTATTAGAGTACCCTTATTGAACAATAATACAGTTGTGATAAAAGCCCTGTTTTCGATCTTTAGTGTCTACGCTCTCTTATCTGGCTTTGTTATCAAGAGCGGAGAAAGTTCTGCGCAATGCGTCCTTTTGTGATCGGACATTGCTCATCACAATATTTGCGAAAATCAAATTTCTTACTCCAAAGATGTCCTCGAATACCTGCATTACAGATGAGAGGTATTTTGCTCATCTTTATTTCAACATTCTGTATACAATGGGTCTGTACATATAAAATGGTCTTATTGGTCCTTGATATGTCCCACAGCCAAGTACGTTATTTCAAACTTCTTTTGAATTCAGTGACTTACAGAATCTATGCTTTTAGCTACTCTTCAATAAAAGAGTAGCCGAAGCGCTAAGCGATGCCGATAATGAGGTGACATTGGTGCTGATTTCTCCTATTGCTGACCGCGACATTAGCGACATCAAAATAAAGAACAATGTCAAAGGTATTACGCTAAATTCTGGACATTTGTTCATTTTTCGATACAGAACATCTTAGTGCACATAGTGCCCATTTCGACTGGGCTGACCAAAGCTAAGATGGAAGAAAATCAAGAGAACTACGTATTTAAGGTGAGTTACCGCAGTTAAAGGCGGTGTCCGGGCAAGAATTCGATTTCTGGAACATTTGCTTGTTCGGGGATATCCGTTAACGCTGAACCAGAATTCTGTACATTAGAAAGGACGAAAACGGCGAAAAATGCGTTTTCAAGGTCCTACAATTTGAAATAGGATGGCCTCCGCTAAAGAGGTTAGAGGACTATACGTCGCCGAAAAGGGGCGGTCCCCGCGGTCATTTGCGACAAATGCGCACCCTTGTATATGCGCGGACATGCGTTCCTGCAGGGAATCCGCGCAGGACCCTTCCAAATTCGGCCACATGTAGTCCTCCACCCCGCTAAAGATAGATGTAGAATCGCTCCAGGACGCTACAACTTTAACAGTGGCGGCATGTGTACTCTGTCGCAGAGAAGAAATTCAAATAGGTGAAGAGCCCCACCCCAGGGCATTAGTTTCCCAGCTTTCCAACCATATCTCTTGGTGGTGTTCAAACATTATAGCCTCGCAGTTGAGCGATAGCTCTGAAAGGGCCCATTGGCACTGATATTACACTGATACAGATATTCAATACACATATTATTTTGAGGAAGAGACAGGCGGTGGAATCCATACAGCATCGATGAAGGCAGCCAAAATCGTTCATACCTGTGAAGGTGAATATCTTACCTACTGATTAAGGGGATTCCGATTTGAGTGTCACGGTCGGGGCGGGTCGGGTCCTCGCGAGTCGCCTCGCTTAAGACTTCGACGTGTTCGCGAACGTATCGCGAACGGGACATTTTCCCAAGCTCGTCAGCCATTGATATTTCTTACCTCAGGCGAGGGAAACTACCTTATCCGCTAAGGGCGAACGCGAAAGACCCAAGCTTGGCGTATCGAGGACCCAAGCCGCGCTAACCGTAACACTTAGACTGGAATCCTCTGTACATACAATCAACCAAGCGGAACACAGGGGGATTTCCAGAGACGGTGAAGAATAAAGAGTTCTTGCAATGGTTAACGGTACAGCGGTTCGACTTAGCCTACGCGCATATGTTCGACGTTTGCACTATTGGTCTTATTCATCACGCAAGAATACCAGCATGGATTTGGTTAAATAGGTAAGTACAGGTAACTTGAACGATGGTCATCGCTAGAATACAATTTCAGTGGTTCTATAATGGATTACGTGGCTTATTTGGTGGGAGTCCCAATAATTCCTAGTTACGTGCCACGTAAGTATAAGTTTGGCTGTTTCAGGACTTACAATGTTTTCCCTGTGAGCGAAATATCAAGTTGTACTCTGAGAATTTTTGCCAGCAAACTACAAGTTGTAGAAGCAAAAAAAAATATTATATTACTTAGGAAAACCTGCTCTGGTGAATTAATGCTTTTTTTGTCAGTTCTATTGAAGCTCATTTCAATTCTTGGTGCAATCTGGTGTTGTTTGGTGCCCTTTTCAAACTAATTAGCGAAATTTATCATAATTATTCTTTCCCTTCAGAGTCTGCGTTGCCATATTCTAGAGGTCGATTTGTGCATTGTATGTATAGTTTCCATTTCCAGCAATGATGATGGAAGTGGCTGGTGAAATGAATTTCATGGAAAGGACAAAGAGCTTCATAGGTCACTTGCTCATGAAGTTTTTCTGGAAAAGGTGCCAGTTTTGAAACCTAAGCCACAACTGAATGTTAACTTCCTATATTTGGATTGATTGCTGACCCAGAAACAGAAGTTTTTCGCCGCTGGATAAATCGTGACTTCCCAGACTTGATGGATCTCGCCTCGAAATGTCCTTTGGTATGTTTATCAGTCGCTGCTATTCGTGACGCTCGGCAGCAGTGCAGTTCTTGTTGAAAAAAAAGTAATAGTGCGCGATCGAAGAATTCAAACAAAAGCTTTCGTATTTTTTGTGTGTCTGAGATCCCAGTGCTTTGGTTTGTGAGACCCCCAATGTTTAACACCTTAGCGAGATCATACTGGCTACCTAACTTTCTTTGAAAAAAAAAACAACGGAAATCTACTATAAATTCGCATTCAGTTTTAACCAATGTGTTTAACAATGTGCAGTTACCCCTTGATTCACCGAAATTGGCGGCTGGAAGGCAACCGCTCGCGTCCGCAACGCAGTCTGCGTCTCCCCCGCGAACGTATTCTCGATTATTTTCTAGCACCAATTAGGTAACAAAGCCACGCCTTTCAGCCGCCAATCCGTTGAATTAATAGTGTGTTAGGAGCGGGAACTTCACTTTTCCAAGTATCTCCGTGTCTAATCTTTTTATACCCACAATGCTAGGGAAGCTAAAGAAATTTAGCAGTTGTTTGTTTTGCAATGGGGAGCTCTAAATACTTGGAAGAAGAGTGAAGAGGATTTCTTGAATAAACGGCTTCTGCCGCATAAAACCTTGCATTTCTGCACTGCTTATTACGAACTTCCAGCTTGCCCCTTTGTCAGTCCAAAGGCTCTGTCTTGCTAAGTCAGGGGCATTCCATAATCCAAAGCCTATTAATCGAGTATGTGCCAATTTGTGCATTTTCCTGAAGTTAGCTTAGATAATACTTTCCCGATTGTCTCCTTTGCTTGGGATCATTGTAGGAAAGCGTTGCAAATTACATTACAGAATTTCTTATACTTAATAGAGACCGACGTTTCAACGTTAACATCCTGAAGAAGTTGCAGCTGCACGCATTAGCTAAGAAACTTACTCGACTGCATATAATCTGTCTAAAATCTCAACAAAACCGTGAAACTCAAAAAACTCCGAGAGCTGGTGGTGATGATGGCAAATCTATCCGTAGATGGTGTTCGGCTACGCTTTATAAGCACACAAAAGCAAGAATGCACAAAAAATGCATGAGAAAGACTCGCAGTTCCTATCGGCTGTTTAGGTCATGGCCAACAGTAACGACCTCTACGACATGACTCGCCCACTGCTGGCCAAAGTTGTCAATATTGGCGGAGTTGGAATGGAACTTGCTGAAGCAAAACCGCTGCCAGAAGTAAAGTTTTAACAGTTTGAAGTTTTATGCACAATGATATGGAAATCAGAATTTAGGACATCGACGAGATTGTTGCCAGAGGAAATGGAACTGTGCTCTTTTCTTTTGGTTCAGTCACAGCAGCTCACAAGATGCCTACAGAATGGAAGTCAGCGTTTTTGGAAGCATTTAAGGCATTGAATACCTATCAGTTTCTGGTGAGATATGAGAAGAACGATCTTGATGGTGAGTCTTCTAGGCTTGCGCTTTTGAATTAAGTTTACCGTTGCTCAATTAAATAAAGGCAGTGTAGGCTTTGGCAAGTATAGATGTCCTCGAAGTTTAAACATGTCGAACATTTTTATCCGTAGTCAAAATAAGTGTGTATACATGGTGTTCCAAACATGTGACTACTCTTTGGTTGTTAATAACTTTCTTGCCATGAACTGTTGAGGCGCTTTAGGCAACATTGTGTAGAGCTGGCTTCAACTTGGATTCATAGTATAGAACGGACCACCCATCGCTTTTCATTACTGCAAAATCACAGTAAGAACTCTTAGGAGGGTTTTGCATCATTAGGCTCATATTTTACCCCTAACAAAAGGCTAAAAGAGCTGAGAACTCTTACAGTACGTTAGTCGCTGATTTAAAATTTGAAACTCACACTTCACCGTAACGCTTCCTTCGTAAGTTATGCCAGATATGTCGCAGGAACCGATTTCTGGTATTCGTCAGAAATTTGATTACGCCCTTTGAAAAGCTCTACGAACGCACTAAAAACTATCTAGTGAAATCAGCATGCATGAAAACTCTGTTACGTAATTTTACAAATTTTTTTGTTTTTTTTCTCGAACAGCCTATTTCACAGTGGCGCCATATGCTACAAAGTTCCTACCGCAATCCTACAGTAAGCCAACTGTAAATCTAAGCTGAAGCCGGCCATGCAAAAATAGTACTTGATCTTCCGCGAAAGATTTCAAAGTGTCAAATTAAACTTTAGGCAAATTGTTTGGGACACCCTGTATGATGGTTTTGCTTATCCTGTACGACGTATTTGTTTACCCTTAGCCTCAGACTAATGTCATGTAACTATAAGAGAACTAGTTCAGTAGAAATATCGCGCGATTCTGTGAATGTTTGAAAGATGTCAACATAACTGGCTACTTGGCAACAATATGATAAGACCTGAGTCAAACCTCTTTTAGACACACTGATGAATAAGAAGTTACTAGTAATTATTATTCTCTTAAGGTAGACTTCCTGCAAATGTTCACTTGTACAAATGGCTTCCACAATCGGATATTCTTCGTCACCCGAAAACGAAGGCTTTCATTACTCATGGAGGTTACAATAGTGTACAGGTACTCGCTCTTATTCTCAGGTCGAAACTGCACGAATGTTGACCCATCACAGGAGGCCATTGTTACCGGAGTTCCTTTGATAGCTATTCCACTTTTTGGTGATCAACCTAAAAATGCACGTCTAGTAGAGAGACATGGAATTGGGCTTGTGCTGCATAAAGCAGAAATTTCCACTCCCATGATCGTAAGGGCTTTGAAACAAGTCATTGAAAATAAAAGGTAAATTTACTGTCGTTTCCAATTGTGAGCATATGAACGTATTTGCAGGTTTGATGACAATGCAAAGAGACTTTCAAGGATGGTTGAACGCAAGCCCATCAGTGCAAATCACTTACTCGTCAAATGGTCGGAATTTTTAGCAGATTTCCAGTCTTTAGAAAACCTGGAACCAGCGGGAAACAAGCTCAACTTTGTTCAATATCATTCGCTAGATGTATTGCTGTTTTTATTCTCTACTGCTGTATTGCTGATCTATGTTGTAAGCAAGGTAGCCATCATATGTTTGTCGCTTGTATTTGCTTCCAAACGGAAACAAAAGACTAGCTGATTAGAAATAGATTGAGAGTGCATGCCCTGCTACAGCCATGTATCGAAGGTTTGATTGTCAATAATTTTTCGTTGAGCAGTTTGTGAATCTGCGAATACTATATTGTACGACTGACCTTTGCTTATAATTAGATTTGCAGTAAACCGATCGCTTTTCAGTTCTGTAGGATTACCGTAGGAAGGAATTTCTGCGCCAATAAAAGCATATTTTGCTCCAACGAATTGTTCTAATCCGAGAACTTCGTCACTATAGTCGAGTAGAATTTCCGCTTAATATAGTGTGCTTGCACAGAAGGTGAAATGCGGTGAAATTTGCGCGTGAGGAATTAGCTTCGACTATGATGCCGGCCAGTTGCGCGCGCAAAATACCGGCAGTGCTGGCGCAGCTACCTCTGTTCATAAACTGTGCAAGCACACTATATTGAGCGGAAAATCTAATCGACTGTAGCTTGATTAGCGTCACTTGTTTCAATGTGACTTTCGCATCACCGTAATCTTCAGTTCGAACTTACGACGGATGTACCGTGACAGCGGTTTTAATACTTATTAGAAATCCAATCTAAATTGCTCTGCAAACACGTGGTAAGTTATTTGCTAGAATCATGGGGCTAAAACCCCAACACAAAGATTTACAGAGTCTTGAAAACTCGATTTGCAGCAATACATCACACTCGGATCCTATCGTACTCTTATGGTAATGAAGGATAGGGGGGGGGGGGGGGGGTAAAATCAAGACCGGCCCTAGAAAAATCGTATATGCCTTAGAGGAGTATTCTGCCGAAACGTCTGCTTTCTTGGAGTATGATTCTTTCTATTTTGAGATCATATAGTTTTTACAATAAAGTGAGGTATATGTGCACTAACAGAGAGCTCTCAAAAGCTGTTTCCAAAGTTGTAAAAGTTTTGTTTAATTTTGATTTCCTTTTCAGTCTTTGTCGTACTGTTAGGCCCGCATAGCGCCAATTTTCCATACATTTCGAAAGAGCTCTTTGAGTACTGTGGACCGATAACGTAAACTCCTCGTCCTTGTAGTTTTTGGAAACCAAATAATTTTGAAGTTGGAAATCAAGCTTTCATCGGACTCAGGTTTGATCCCGGACCTGGGCTAACCAAGCTCTCTACGCTCCGAGGCAAATTGTTACCAGAGTAATCTGGGAGGATAAAAGCTCAGCTCTCGGTAATCGGTTGGCCCTCGCAAGTCATTGTAAAAGGCCCGCACGCATTCAGTAGCCTCCTCGAGTATGAAGTTGAGTGCCGTCGGCGCATGCCCTAGAGGATATTGAAGACGCCGAGTCCTTTATCCTTCAGCCTTTTTATTGAAACGGTCTATTAGAGTACCCTTACTGAACAATAATACAGTTGTGATAAAAGCCCTGTTTTCGATCTTTAGTGTCTACGCTCTCTTATCTGGCTTTGTTATCAAGAGCGGAGAAAGTTCAGCGCAATGCGTCCTTTTGTGATCGGACATTGCTCATCACTAATATTTGCGAAAATCAAATTTCTTACTCCAACGATGTCCTCGAATACCTGCATTACAGATGAGAGGAATTCTGCTCATCTTTATTTTAACATTCTGTATACAATGGGTCTGTACATATAAAATGGTCTTATTGGTCCTTGATATGTCCCACAGCCAAGTACGTTATTTCAAACTTCTTTTGAATTCAGTGACTTACAGGATCTATGCTTTTAGCTACTCTTCAATAAAAGAGTAGCCGAAGCGCTAAGCGATGCCGATAATGAAGTGACATTGGTGCTGATTTCTCCTATTGCTGACCGCGACATTAGCGACATCAAAATAAAGAACAATGTCAAAGGTATTACGCTAAATTCTGGACATTTGTTCATTTTTCGATACAGAACATCTTAGTGCACATAGTGCCCATTTCGACTGGGCTGACCAAAGCTAAGATGGAAGAAAATCAAGAGAACTATGTATTTAAGGTGAGTTACCGCAGTTAAAGGCGGTGTCCGGGCAAGAATTCGATTTCTGGAACATTTGCTTGTTCGGGGATATCCGTTAACGCTGAACCAGAATTCTGTACATTAGAAAGGACGAAAACGGCGAAAAATTCGTCTTCAAGGTCCTACAATTTGAAATAGGATGGCCTCCGCTAAAGAGGGTAGAGGACTATACTACGTCGCCGAAAAGGGGCGGTCCCCGCGGTCATTTGCGACAAATGCGCACCCTTGTATATGCGCGGACATGCGTTCCTGCAGGGAATCCGCGCAGTACCCTTCCAAATTCGGCCACATGTAGTCCTCCACCCCGCTAAAGATAGATGTAGAATCGCTCCAGGACCCTACAACTTTAACAGTGGCGGCATGTGTACTCTGTCGCAGAGAAGGAATTCAAATAGGTGAAGAGCCCCACCCCAGGGCATTAGTTTCCCAGCTTTCCGACCATATCTCTTGGTGGTGTTCAAACATTATAGCTTCGCAGTTGAGCGATAGCTCTGAAGGGGCCCATTGGCACTGAAGTCCCAAAACCCCACCTTGTCCGGACACTGCCTTTAAATCCAACCTGTATCCTGTATCTAATACTGATGAAACGCGTGCTATGTTCAATATATATTATTCATTATAAGCCGAATCAAGCTTTTAACGTAGGAAACTTCTCTACTATAGCTTATGGATTTGTGCAGCACCAACTTCAACGATTTCCATGTTTACTCAAAAAAGACTATTATGCACTTTATAGCAACATATAAAGTACTTTTAAATTTATATGTAGGCAATAAAATGTTGAACATGACTACTTCATTTTTTTCACTTCTTCAGATGCATAGAATCCTAACAACAAACCCTGTAGAATTGGGCTTTGCGCAATGATGAGTCAGTATCTCAGTCCTTTATATCTAAATTGGCTTCATTAAGCTGAAAAGCTATACCGAACTATGGAAGTTTACATGGAACAGCTAGATGCTAAGTGTAATTTTTTTCTCAATCATCGAAATGGGGTGGCATCATCGACATGCACAGTGCTGATGCTCACTTTTTTAGTGGACATACTTCTGAGCGTACAACTCAAAGGCAAAAAAGAACGCACTTTAAGGCAACAGTATTCTTTTAGTGATTCTGACTGCCTTGACTTTGGTATAAAAATGTAATTTAATAGATAGATAGAGTGACGTCCGTTACTGACTGTCTGTGCAGGCTTACTGAAATGCGGTGGATCCAAGAACTCTGAAGAAGACGAGACTGTCGAAACCGTCAGGTCCAATAAAGATCCACCAAAAACCTGGTCTGGCATAGCAGGGCATATACTGACACTTCATATAATTTAATAGTTACTATAAATTGCACTCCTCCAACCCTTCTTGAAAATAAGGACAGTAAGCGAAAATGAGAAGTCGATATGTCGCATAAATTATGACAGATATTAAATACACATATTATTTTGAGGAAGAGACAGGCGGTGGAATCCATACAGCATCGATGAAGGCAGCCAAAATCGTTCATACCTGTGAAGGTGAATATCTTACCTACTGATTAAGGGGATTCCGATTTGAGTGTCACGGTCGGGGCGGGTCGGGTCCTCGCGAGTCGCCTCGCTTGAGACTTCGACGTGTTCGCGAACGTATCGCGAACGGGACATTTTCCCAAGCTCGTCAGCCATTGATATTTCTTACCTCAGGCGAGGGAAACTACCTTATCCGCTAAGGGCGAACGCGAAAGACCCAAGCTTGGCGTATCGAGGACCCAAGCCGCGCTAACCGTGACACTTAGACTGGAATCCTCTGTACATACAATCAACCAAGCGGAACGCAGGGGCATTTCCAGAGACGGTGAAGAATAAAGAGTTCTTGCAATGGTTAACGGCACAGCAGTTCGACTTAGCCTACGCGCATATGTTCGACGTTTGCACTATTGGTCTTATTCATCACGCAAGAATACCAGCATGGATCTTGGTTAAATAGGTAAGTGTAGGTAACTTGACGATGGTCATCGCTAAAATACAATTTCAGTGGTTCTATAATGGATTACGTGGCTTATTTGGTGGGAGTCCCAATAATTCCCAGTTACGTGCCACGTAAGTATAAGTTTGGCTGTTTCAGGACTTACAATGTTTTCCCTGTGAGCGAAATATCAAGTTGTACTCTGAGAAATTTTGCCAGCAAACTACAAGTTGTAGAAGCAAAAAAAATATTCTATTACTTAGGAAAACCTGCTCTGGTGAATTAATGCTTTTTTTGTCAGTTCTGTCGAAGCTCATTTCAATTCTTGGTCCGATCTGGTGTTTTTTGGTGCCCTTTTCAAACTAATTAGCGAAATTTATCATAATTATTCTTTCCCTTCAGAGTCTGCGTTGCCATATTCTAGAGGTCGATTTGTGCATTGTATGTATAGTTTCCATTTCCAGCAATGATGATGGAAGTGGCTGGTGAAATGAATTTCATGGAAAGGACAAAGAGCTTCATAGGTCACTTGCTCATGAAGTTTTTCTGGAAAAGGTGCCAGTTTTGAAACCTAAGCCACAACTGAATGTTAACTTCCTATATTTGGATTGATTGCTGACCCAGAAACAGAAGTTTTTCGCCGCTGGATAAATCGTGACTTCCCAGACTTGATGGATCTCGCCTCGAAATGTCCTTTGGTATGTTTATCAGTCGCTGCTATTCGTGACGCTCGGCAGCAGTGCAGTTCTTGTTGAAAAAAAATAATAGTGCGCGATCGAAGAATTCAAACAAAAGCTTTCGTATTTTTTGTGTGTCTGAGATCCCAGTGCTTTGGTTTGTGAGACCCCCAATGTTCAGACTAATGTCATGTAACTATAAGAGAACTAGTTCAGTAGAAATATCGCGCGATTCTGTGAATGTTTGAAAGATGTCAACATAACTGGCTACTTGGCAACAATATGATAAGACCTGAGTCAAACCTCTTTTAGACACACTGATGAATAAGAAGTTACTAGTAATTATTATTCTCTTAAGGTAGACTTCCTGCAAATGTTCACTTGTACAAATGGCTTCCACAATCGGATATTCTTCGTCACCCGAAAACGAAGGCTTTCATTACTCATGGAGGTTACAATAGTGTACAGGTACTCGCTCTTATTCTCAGGTCGAAACTGCACGAATGTTGACCCATCACAGGAGGCCATTGTTACCGGAGTTCCTTTGATAGCTATTCCACTTTTTGGTGATCAACCTAAAAATGCACGTCTAGTAGAGAGACATGGAATTGGGCTTGTGCTGCATAAAGCAGAAATTTCCACTCCCATGATCGTAAGGGCTTTGAAACAAGTCATTGAAAATAAAAGGTAAATTTACTGTCGTTTCCAATTGTGAGCATATGAACGTATTTGCAGGTTTGATGACAATGCAAAGAGACTTTCAAGGATGGTTGAACGCAAGCCCATCAGTGCAAATCACTTACTCGTCAAATGGTCGGAATTTTTAGCAGATTTCCAGTCTTTAGAAAACCTGGAACCAGCGGGAAACAAGCTCAACTTTGTTCAATATCATTCGCTAGATGTATTGCTGTTTTTATTCTCTACTGCTGTATTGCTGATCTATGTTGTAAGCAAGGTAGCCATCATATGTTTGTCGCTTGTATTTGCTTCCAAACGGAAACAAAAGACTAGCTGATTAGAAATAGATTGAGAGTGCATGCCCTGCTACAGCCATGTATCGAAGGTTTGATTGTCAATAATTTTTCGTTGAGCAGTTTGTGAATCTGCGAATACTATATTGTACGACTGACCTTTGCTTATAATTAGATTTGCAGTAAACCGATCGCTTTTCAGTTCTGTAGGATTACCGTAGGAAGGAATTTCTGCGCCAATAAAAGCATATTTTGCTCCAACGAATTGTTCTAATCCGAGAACTTCGTCACTATAGTCGAGTAGAATTTCCGCTTAATATAGTGTGCTTGCACAGAAGGTGAAATGCGGTGAAATTTGCGCGTGAGGAATTAGCTTCGACTATGATGCCGGCCAGTTGCGCGCGCAAAATGCCGGCAGTGCTGGCGCAGCTACCTCTGTTCATAAACTGTGCAAGCACACTATATTGAGCGGAAAATCTAATCGACTGTAGCTTGATTAGCGTCACTTGTTTCAATGTGACTTTCGCATCACCGTAATCTTCAGTTCGAACTTACGACGGATGTACCGTGACAGCGGTTTTAATACTTATTAGAAATCCAATCTAAATTGCTCTGCAAACACGTGGTAAGTTATTTGCTAGAATCATGGGGCTAAAACCCCAACACAAAGATTTACAGAGTCTTGAAAACTCGATTTGCAGCAATACATCACACTCGGATCCTATCGTACTCTTATGGTAATGAAGGATAGGGGGGGGGGGGTAAAATCAAGACCGGCCCTAGAAAACGCTAAGTGGCAGAAGATGTTATCAAACTTAAATAGACTCTTTGAGAAACCTGTATGTAACATTTCGAAGTAATCGCACTTGAACTAACAAGAAACTCTTCACTTGATGTTTCAAATTACAGAAAACACAATAACCACGTGGAACATGAGGTTGGTATGTCATCCGTAAAACTTGAGTTCAAAAGTCTCAAACCCTTTTTTGTTGGTGTGACATAGAAGTAAGTGAATAAACGAGTAGCTTTATATTGAGAAACAGATGAACAAAAACGACACAGAAGTTTGAGAAGCCTTAAAATATGTAACTTTTTTGACCATCAGCTTCAGCGGGTTTTGAGGGCTGTGGCATACAATACGTCGGCATTCTTCTAAGGCAAAGTTCAGAGACGCTTCTCTAAACAATTTTGCATTCACTTTTAGTAGGTGCCGTGAAGTAAAAACCTCATTTATGGAATCAGCAATGCTCTTAAACTTGACAAACTTACACTTTCGTTTCGAACAACTCTCGAGTTTCATTGGTTAAAAGGGTCCCCTATCCAGAATGACGGCAAAATGATGCATGCTTGGTCTTAATGTCATCCACGCTTCAAGCCTTTAGCTGTTCTTGAAATATAATTTTGTAGAGCTGCCTTAAATTAGAATTTGCATAGACGATTCACGATTATTCTCCAACACTGTGGGATTACGGTGTAAACGCGCAGCATACAGCGCGATGTGAAAGAGGCCGCTTGAGACTTCCAAAAGTCTAAAAAGTTGCGCAGCAGTTTCACGCATGTTATCGTTACATAATTTTTTACGTCTTTTGAGCTTCTAAATGATGACACATTTTTAAAAATTGGAGAAACAGGTGTTACTTATACCTAATTTATAAAGCTGTATGTCTGTGTGCATACGCATATGTATTGTATGTCTGTACGTATGGATCTAAATTTTTGCAAATTTAAGGCCTTATCAACCGTAACTAACAATACATGGGTCACACCGCACAAAATAACAACTCCGTTATTCTGTAATGCTTTACATAAGTGGCCACAAGACCAGATTCGTTGAACGCAGTGGCTCGGAAAAATTGCAAAGTGCGCTTTCTGTTCCATCTTGGTCTTCTGGATGCGTTTAGACCAAAGCTGTGTTTGAAAAGTCATAAAAGTGCTTTTTATGGCGTTTTCTGGCCTTGGAGATTGCTGAGAAGGCTGGAGCGGAGATTCCCGCCAAAACAGTGATTGGCTGCAGGAGACTGTAACACTGTACAATCATTTTGGCTGCAATTTGCTGATTGGCCCAAATAGCCAATCGCGACTCGAATGCGGGAATCTCCGCTCTACCCTCCTCAGCAAACTCCAAGGCTGCAAAACGCCATAAAAAGTGTTTTTTGACTTTTTCAAGCACAGCTCTGGTCTAAACGCATGCAGAAGGTGAGGGAGGAACAGGAAGCAGACCTTTTAAAACCTGCACGACACAAAAAATTAAGTGAAGTTGTACTAGAATGCTCAGATCGCAAGAAAGGAGGACTTTGAACACAGAGCAGACACTTGCAATTTTCACGAGCCACTGCCTCTAAAAAGGAGAGCGTCTCGTGAAAAGACATGAACGCGACAGTGAATCTGAAAAGTCGTCCAGCGCGTTGAAATGCGCTCCGCCGCCACTTTAAGTACATTTTCAACGTACAAGACCTCTTGTCGTGGGACTTTGACTTTAGCCTAATGAGGGGAACCTTCTAGTAAGATGCGTACAAATCTACTGTACCTTAGTGTTGGTTTGAGCCTTGGCTACTATACTTCGGGTGAACGAACGTTACAAGCTATTTCTCGGCATCGATCGGCATCGTATTGATTTATCAGACGAATTTTTGTTTATACCAGAATTTGGGCTACGGACTGGGAGTTACCAATCACCAATTACATTTATCGGGTTTATTAATTTGCTGCAAACGCTAAGAGTGCGCGGGGTAAGTTTAGCACGCTAATAACGAAGGATCACTTTTGTTATACTCCACTACAATTATCGATTTTATCATTTTTGCAAACTTTAAAGGAGCTTGAAGTTGGTACGAGGGGTAAGAAGAGCACACTTTGTGAAAATACAAAAAACACTACGGTGAAGTGCGAATTTCATCTTCGATCATCGACTTTGAGTAGCGTGTTGGAAAAGGTTTCAAGTGATAGCTCAAGGCCTTTCACGAGATTTCTACCGTAACCCTACTATAATGAAAAACTTGTTTCGTTTCATAGTAAATCTAAGTTATCCAGCTTCGTAGAATGATGCCTTACTAGCGGAAAAAGATCAAGGTAGGAGAGTTATCAATGAGAAGACGGTGGGGAAATTCTTCTAGGACATTTTCCTTCCATCTCATCAGATTCAGAAAATACTGTGTTTCCTGATTAATTGTAATTACTGCAATAATGTAGACGTAAAAATTTTTCAAAGACTGAGGACAGCTAAGAATGAACTAGCAGATGCTACTGCACTTTACCTGGCGCTGCTTCAGCGCATCGATAAACAGAAGGTTATTACTGCCAATAAAAAGGAAAAAATCGTTTCTTATCACCATAGCTATCAGTTCACTATTCGTGTCATATGTTTTCGATTTTTGAAACATAGTCATTGACTGTAAAGCAGCTAATCTCTGTTGCAGATGAGGATTACCCTACTTTTTCTCCTTCTCTTGACTGTGATAAATGGTTACAAAATTGTGTTCTTCGTACTAGACATTTCTACGAGCCAGGTAAGAAAGTGTATTAGTAGCACATGAATTTTTTTCCCAAACCGAGAAGTTCCATTATGAGAAAATGCGTTAACATAGCTTGTCAGGAACTTTTGGGTTTGGGACGATTAGAAGTTGATTCAGTCCCTGCCCCAGCTTGTTAAGCAAAGCCAGTTATTTCCACAAAGACATCTCTCTCATCTAAGGGCCTAAAACCTTATTCTTTCACTTTCTAATGAGCGCTCTCCTATATTTAAAACTAGCTGGCTTACCCGGCTCCGCCGTATCCGGACCAAACTTGGCACACATACACTTCGGGCCCCGGCGGGTGTCACAGTCCACTTTTCGTTATCGATCGATGTCGATTTTACCGATTTTTATCGATTTTTTTTGCAGAGTTCACCTACAGGGCTAGGAGTTGGCACAGGGGGTAATCGAGCATGCTGATTACGAACACAATATTAGTTTTCAGAATTATCGATTACTTTTATTGATTTTATCGATTTTTTGTAAATTTTGACATGCGAGGCTGGGATTTTGCACAGGGGGGTAATCGAGCATGCTGATTACGAACACAATATTAGTTTTCAAGATCGTCCATTACTTTTATCGATTTTATCGATTTTTTGAAAATTTGAGCTAGGGGACTGGAATTTGGCACAGGGGTGTAATCGAGCATGCTGATCACCCCCCTTGGGGGTGATCAGCATGCTCGATTACCCCCCTGTGCCAACTCTCAGCCCCCTAGCTCAAACTTTGCAAAAAATCGATAAAATTGATATCGATCGATGACGAAAAGTAGCCTATGACACCCGCCGGGGCCCGAAGTGTATGTGTGCCAAGTTTGGTCCGGATCGGTTCAGAAATGGAATTTTCTATTCGGAACATACGTACAGACATACAGACAGACAGACATACAAACAGACATTCAGCTTTATATATAAGATTTTATTTTCGCTTACTCTCGACCTCATATCATTGAATAGAACCAGACTAAGTGCCTTGGGTAATGTCCCAAACATTTGCTCGAACATTAATTCATGCATATTTTTTCAATAGCCTCTTGAGTAGGAATGACTATGTGGTGCTGAAATTGTAAGAAAGAGGCCAGATAAATTACCAATAGTATTCCCCTTCTTTGATTCAGAGACCTCAAGCTAGAAAAATGATAATTAGTGAAACTGATCGAGGCTATTTTGGCTCTGTATTTGTTCTTGATTGGAGGAGAAGCTGGTGTAGTATCAGCCAAGGCTAGGCACAGGTGGTTTGTAAGCAAGTTGGATATTGTTTTTGGGGCAAAAAGCAAAGGGGGTAATGTTCTTGAAATCGAAAGGTACAAAAATTGCAAAGTTTTTTTAGCCGACATTTCATTTTTTGAGGTTTTTTACGTTTGGGGTTTAGAGTCAAATGGGACTTCGTAAAAATTTCCGAAAGTCAAGGAGGATTTCGTTTTTCCAAAAGCCACCTCCTGCTGAGCCATGGATCAGCTTCTTTCGGCTGGACTATACAGAAGTTCTTTGCAACATGCTAAAACGGAGTTTTATCCTATAGAAAAGGCAGTTTCAGAAAAATTGTCTCAATTATTCTCTTTCCTCGATGCTGCTGTAGATGCATTCAGTTAGAGCTGCTTATTATTAAACATCAAACCATCAGCCAAAGATTACTTTCGATTGCTAGAATTTCGCATGTCCACTTCAATTCCTTGTTGTAAGACATGCAGCAATGCATTGGACTTGGACTGAAGTAAGTACGCAATGTAGTAATGGAATGTAGAAGTGTACCAGATTTCTTTATTATGTTGTTAAATCAAATGCTAGGATAAACTTCTATGCTTCTTCGCTACGAAAGAGCGTTGGAGCAGTGAATGTTGCTTTCTCAACTCTTTCTGAATGAAGAAAATTTGTCTGAAAAACAAAGCCCATTACTTTATAGTTCAAAGTGGTGGATGTCCACATTTTTTAAAATCCTAACTTTCCTTTTTGAAAGTATTAGCCATATTTACTCAGACACCTACTTCCAGAGAAATTCACTCTTTTATAGTGCAGTGATGCATCCTGCAAAAAAAAAAGATTAGCGCGTTCTCCTCAGGCTAAACTGTTTCATTTGCAAGGTCCCGTTATTCCAACTCTCAACTGACTATCATTTGTAAGAATATAATCATATAAAGCGCATAGCGGCTGAAAGATCAGCATGCACCCCCTTAACTCGAAATTCCCACATTCTTTCAGTAACGTACCGATGGGGCGCCCCTCCCCTCCCGCGAGAATGGGTCGCGAAATTTCTGAAAGTTACATAAATGTGTTATAAAAATGTGCAAGCAACTTCTTTTTACTTGTAAATAAGTAAAATAATTTTTAAAAGATTTCGAAAATTCAAATTAGACCTGCAAAAAAATTTTCGGGGGCGTGGTTGCCGCCACGCCCCTTTTTTGCAATTTCGGGGGTTAGGGGCGCGCAAAAATTTTGGGAAGCATCCAAATTTTCCGGAAGGCATAGTGTTATACACGCACCTTCGTACAAAAAAATTTCTTGTCCCCCCCCCCCCTCATCGCCCGAACAGACATTCTGAGTGCGCCACTGTCTTTCGGGTGCATGCGCAGAGAAAGACTGCCGTTTGCCTTCTTGGGTAAGGTTCAATCTCCTTTCACCGGCTAATTAATCGCGGTTTTGCATGATCTTCACACTTGCGTTTATGAATTGGCAATGTTTCGCAACGTCTTTTAAATGTATTGGTGACATTGTGGAGGACGAACGCATGAAAACCCTCTCTATTCAACTTCTGCGTGAGCTTAATCAGTCAGAAATCATATTGACGAGTGTGCCGTTTTTGTCAAAATTTTCCGGTACAAGATTTTTAAGTAGATAGCGATAGCAGTCAAATACTGCGATATTCAAAAATTCTTATTAGCTGTCAGTGGCGTACCGAGAGGAGGGAGGGAGGAGGGGGGGGGGGGAGCGGTTTTCGGACGGCAGCTGCTTACTATGTATTAGCTGGCGTACTCGGCTCCGGCCCTGTCAATACAATATGTTAAAGGCCACCATCCCTATTTCTGTACAACCAACTCCGAACCGTAGCTCAAACTTTGCAAAAATCGATAAAATCCATAAAAGTAAAAGGTGATCCCGAAGACTAATAATTCGTAATTAGCATGCTCATTTACTCCCCCCCCCCCTTGCCAACTCCCAGCCCCGTAGGCCCCGTAGCTTAAACTTTGCAAAAATCGATATAATCGAATATACAGCGTGTCCCAAAAAATGTTTAGAACGATTGATCGTTAATATCTCTCTTCCCAAGAAGTCTTTTGCCTTGCTTCAGGTACCGTTTTGTAGAGCTGGCTTCAACTTAGATTTCCATTATAGAACGAATCACCCATCTCTCTTCATTACTGTAGGATTACGGTAGAAACTTGAAACATATGGTGTCAATATGGAAAAAGCTGCCGTCTCAAAATTTTTCAAAAAATTTCGAAAACTTGTGTAATAGGGTTTTTATGGGTTCCGAGTTCAATACTCAAGTATTCACAGGATTGCGAAGCTTTCTAAGCGGTGTAACCGCACTTTTTAGGAACATTGAAAAAATGGCCGCTACCCCTTACCCGGCACAACTCTTCAATGAAACATCATAAGTTGGGAACTTCACAGTTAGAATCAGCAACTCTAATTAGCTTGATGTAAAAATTTTCAGGCTGTTTTCTTTTTTTCTGAGGGAAAATATGGCTTTTCACGGTTCAAAACCCTTGAAGTTTCTACCGTAATCCTACAGTAATGAAGAGAGATGGGTGATTCGTCCTATACTGCAAATCTAAGTTGAAGCCAGCTCTACAAAACGGTACCTGAAGCAAGGCAAAAGACTTCTTGGAAAGAGAGATATTAACGATCAAACGTTCTAAACATTTTTTGGGACACCCTGTATATAGAATCGATATGGTATCGATCGATAACGGAAAGTAGCCTACGACATTCTCCCCCCCCCCCCCCCCCGAAGTGTATGTGTGCGTTTGCTCCGGATCGGATCAGATCGAAAAATTTCTATTTGAAACATACGTAGATAAATACACACATATGTACATACCTACATACAGACAGGCAGACAGACAAAAACCGACGTTCAGCTTTATATCCAAAATAACAGCTGAAAAATCAAAGTTTTCCTGCATATGTAAAAGCTGGAAAGCAAGACTTATTAGTTTGAAATTTTCTTTTCAAGGTGATATTCAACAAGCGGATTGCTGAAACGCTTGCAGATCGTGGTCACAATGTGACAATGGTTCTTGTAAAAGCGCTTGATGAGACGCGGAAAAACGAAATCCCGATCAAGGAGAATATAAACTGTTTGTTGGAACATAATCATGAGCTGATAACACAGTACGACTATGAACACTTTTTAGTGTATATCGTAAATGGATCCATTGGAGTTACGCGAGAAGAGTTCGAAAATCAGCAGAAATCCGTTATGTTTGAGGTGTGAGTGCGAATCAAGATGAAACTGATATACTGCTAGTAAGAGAGTGTTACAGGACTACTCTTTGTTTGACAGAAAAGTATGGAAATCAGCGCAGACTGGCAGACAATTCATATTTGGATCGTGCAGAAGTACGTCCAGAAAAGATATATTTTTTATGTACTTCTTTTATTTCAGATATTCTCAGCAATGCCGAGTTTCTTACTTGGCTTAAGGAGCAGCACTTTGATCTAGCCTTCTTATATGCGTTTCAAGCTTGTCCAGTGGGACTCGTACATATCGGTCGCATTCCATCATGGATATGGCTTATCAGGTAGCCGGTTTGGATGAAATGCCCGAGTCATAAGTATAGCTTTTTTCGCATTCCTTGATTGTTTGCGTCTCTCCTTTCAGAGCCGAAGAAGGGTCTCTTTTCCTGCAAAATAGGAAATTTCTAATGCCATCAGTAACTGTATAACAAGCTTCCGCCTCGAGATGAAAGACACCCACATTCAAAGTAGCTTTCTAAAACGATGTGTATACCAATGAGAGTTTCCAGTGGGCACAATTAAAAGCACTTCCCTGCAACTGGTAAATGCGAATTTGCTTCGGAGGCTTATACTCAGATTTCTGAGTAAAAAGCTACTATTTGGCAGCAATAGGCAACAAAACTCAATGTCGCTTGCTCCTAAACGGACCCATGTACGCCTAGTCAACCGTTTAGACAACGAAAGCAGACTTTATTCAACACCAGCTTGCTTACCCGGCTCCGCTTAGCCCTGTTAAAACACTGTAATAAAGGTCCCATCCCTATCCCTGTACAGCTTTTCCCTGTTCCCACTTCTACATTTCATTTCCCGTTCCTTGTGTTGTTTTCGAAATCAGCATGCCCACTTACCCGTGTGCCAACTCCCACCCCTTCAGCTGAAATTTTGAAAAAATCGATAAGATCGATAAAAGTAAAAGGTAATACCAAAAACTTATTGTATTCGTGATCAGTATGCCCGATTATCCCCCTGCGCCAACTGTCAGCCCTGTAGCTCAAACTTTGCAAGAAAATCGATAAAATCGATAAAAGTAATCAATGATTCTGAAAACTAATATTGTATTCGGAACCGCCATGCTCACTTACCCCCCTGTGCCAACTCTCAGCCCCGTAGGTGAATTCTGCAGGAAAAAAACGATAAAAATCGATAAAATCGATATCGAGCGATAATGAAAGATAGCCTATGCGGGGCCCGGCACGAGTCGGTTTCTGGAGTTTCGTAAAACGAAGTCCCCCCTGCCGGAGATTTCGCGAATCCCTCTTTGACCTACCTATTTAAGGGACGATGAAAACAAGAGAGATTTACTACTCTGAAAGAAAAATGTGAGATAAGTACTACGCATGCACAAGAGTTTGGCATTGGAGCTCGATATTTAATAAAGCGATTTATGAAGAAATTAAAGCAAAAACAAAGGTAAGGCAATGATATGAAAATGCCTCAATGCTCAGAGATAGATTTTTGACCGGGGAATCCGTCTATGCTGGAAAAATCCGAAACTTATGTGAAGTGACAGAAATACAGTGACCGCCAAAAAGTTGCGGACAAGCCGCCCTCCTTTTTTTATCGCTCATTTTCAAATGGAAAACAAAGATGAACAAATGAATGGATTGCATGGGATGATAGAGCGCATCAAGAGCTACAACCTACACATTGCGCTTTCTGGAAAACATGTACTATAAAAATTTCAAAAATCTTTTTCCCAAAAAAAAATCCGAAAATGGACACGTCACAATGTCGCGGACAATAATTCTTTGAACGCAAAAAGTTTCTTCTAGGTCTTTTCTTGGATCAAAAAGAGTAGTTTTCTAGACAGGTAAGCATGCTATATTGTAAAGCTCATCGAGGACAATAATCGGGTAGTGGTTACTTCTAAAAAAACCCAAGCTTGAATTTTATTTTGCTTTTTTTCAAAAAATAATTTTTAGTTCCCCTTTTCAAGCCAAATTTTTTCACATGGAAACCTATTCAAGACATTCCAACAAAGCTAATTGGATAAGATGGATGCTCTTTGCCATCCTCTATGCATCGGACGTGTGCTGGTGAGTTTCTTTACTAAAAATGACTCTTGACAGTGTGTGCACACGACCCCACTTGCACTTCACCGCTGACTTGCACCGCTTTGCAGGCTTGTAGCTCGGCCGCCAGACAATCTAAGAGCCTAAGAGTAGGCTCATTCAAAAGAGCGTGGCATCTGCGACACGATGGTATGCAAATGACTTGAGTTTGGGAAATCAAGGAGATTTTACGGATGGGGTGACAAAGCGCAGCTTCAGTGGTAGGCTAAGGATTCTTCAGCAAAGTTGACCAAAGCTCCTTTCGCCACCAGTTCCATCCTAAAAGTTCAAAACTGTCAATTTCTTGTAATGGTCCATTTCGGAGCTCTAAGACTGTTCTAGAGTTGATAAGAGCCTTCACTCCAACCACCTCTAAGGCTGCGCTTCTTCACCCCATCCGTAAAATCTCCGTGATTTCCCAAACTCAAGTCATTTGCATACCATCGTGTCGCAGATGCCACGCTCTTTTGAATGAGCCTACACTTAGGCTCTTAGATTGTCTGGCGGCCGAGCTACAAGCCTGCAAAGCGGTGCAAGTCAGCGGTGAAGTGCAAGTGGGGTCGTGTGCACACACTGTCAAGAGTCATTTTTAGCAAAGAAACTCACCAGCACACGTCCGATGCATAGAGGATGGCAAAGAGCATTTATCTTATATAATTAGCTTTGTTGGAATGTCTTGAATAGGTTTCTATGTGAAGAAATTTGGCTTTAAAAGGGGAACTAAAAATTAATTTTTGAAAAAAAGCAAAATAAAATTCAAGCTTGGGTTTTTTGGAAGTAACCACTATCCGATTATTGTCCTCGATGAGCTCTACAATATAGTGTGCTTATCTGTCTAGAAAACTACTGTTTTTGATCCAAGAAAAGACCTGAAAGAAACTTTCGCGTTCGAAGAATTACTGTTCGCGACATTGTGACGTGTCCATTTTCGGACTTTATTGGAAAAAGATTTATAGAATTTTTATAGTACATGTTTTCCAAAAAGCGGATGTGTGGGTTGTAGCTCTTGATGAGCTCTATCACCACATACTATCCAATCATTTTTTCATCTTTGTTTTCCATCTGAAAATAGCGAAAAAAGGAGGGTGGCTTGTCGCAACTTTTTGGCGGTCACTGTATATGCCCCAGATGATCTCAGATGGTGGCCGTCTGGAGGCAGACTTGTTTTGGAAAAGGTGCTACTTAACAGAAGTTTTCGAATTTTTTAACATAATTCTTCCGCAAATAATTTTCTATGTATACGGTTCAATTTTAGTGTCACATGATTGCATGTCAATCGTGTAATAATCTGTCTGAAAAGCTTGCGTTCGATTAAATAGCTCTTATTCTTGATGCTCGGCCCGACTTGTCAAAAACGATTTCTATTTTGCTGTTTGCTCCAGAAACGAAGTCCATCCTGTTTCCAGACGATCTGTGCCGGGCCCTGAGCCTATGACACGCTTCCTGCCCCGAAGTGTATGTATGCCAAGTTTGGCCCAAATCGGTTTGGAAAAAATTTCTATTCCGCACATACGTACACACATACAGACATACAAACAGACATTCAACTTTATACATATATAAGATTTCGAGGAGAAGGCGGCCAACCACCGCTTGCCCTCAACTGAATTTAAGGAGATTTTGGGACAAAGCCCTCCACGTGCTTTGATTATGGGCGCGTCGCTTACTCCCAAAACAGATGATATTATGTGCAACTCCTTCTTTCACTTTGTATTTCACAGAGAGTCTGCGTTCCTTCCCCTTTGCCTCTCCCTCTCCTACCTTCCACTTTTCGCCTCTTCCTTTTTCTACCCTAGCCCTTCATGTGCATATCTTCTGAGTGATGCATAGCACAACAACAGAATTCTTAACTCTTCAACATTTGCGTAAAAGCGAGCTTCAAAGGCAGCGGCTCGGCAGAATGACAACTTTAGGATATTCATCATTCTGGGTTCTCCTGGACGAGCTAAGTCCAAGACTGTGCTGGAGCTTCAAAAGATATCAATGATCGGCTTTTCCAGATGTGAAAAGTACAATTTGGACCGCGTATCCTGTTCTTTAGAGCGCGATTGGCTTGTGAGTGGAGACACTGTACCTATCGTACTCACGAGCCAATCGCGCTTGGGGCAGGCACACGCCGTCCGCCCAAATAGCACTTTTCACTTCTGGAAAAGCGGTTATTGGTATCTTTTGAAGCTGCAAAACACAGTCTTGGACTTAGCTCATCCAGGGGAACCGAGAACGATGAATATCCCAAATTTGTCATTCTGCCGAGCCGCTGCCTTTAACACACGACGATACAACCCATGGGTCGTAAGATTCCTGAAGTTTTAGCTTTGCCAGTTTACGATGGAAATTAACGAGGTTCTGGCACATAATTGGAAACACCTAGGTGAAGCTTCAGCCAGAGTAATCCAGGCTCGGGATACTGTAGTGCAAATGTTACGATAGGTCTACCGCAGATAGAAATAAGAACAGATT